AACCCAGTGCCTCACACATGCTAGGCAAATGCTCTACCACTGAACTACAACCTCAGCCCCYAAAGAAAAATGCTAATAGTCRAGAATGAAGCTTATTTACATTGCTTGGGAGTGTGCTGTTTTTAAGATAAAGCCCTCCAGATTGTTCRGTTGTAAGATCCTCATTTACTATMCAAGAAAGAGAAATACAGGTGGTCGGGGGAAATTCCAGGAAGAGAGCAGGCCACCTTTGGCTTGTCACTCCAGGAAAGTAAAACTGCCTTTTCTGGATGATTGCCTAGTAAAAGTATATGTGAACTGGGGATGCCTTTGAGCCAAAGATGACTTAACTCACCAGAAACCACAAGACTGAAAACTCTTAGTTTTATCTGGTTAGGTAAATTATCCATTCAGAATACTTCTGTCGTTTTTTGACTCATGGGTATGTATAGCCATTATATCTAGTTAGTAGTAAGATAGATATACTTAGATTTGATCACTTATCAAGTGATATCTTTGAGAACTGTAATATTTAATGTAATTTCTCCAAATTTTCCAATCTGGATGTTGAGCTTTAGTCATAAGGTTATTATCTGTAGGTACCTGCAGATGTCAACAACTAGAAGTACTTGACTTCCAAAGCTAGGAGAAAACCATCTGAGTTAGAAGACTAGAGAAATGTTTAGAGTTGGGAGAGATTGCTGAGGGGATCCATTCCAGGGCTAGAAAGTGGGCTTCAAGAGATGCTCTATCTCCATCCATTGGCAGAATTTTTGTCATTGCTATGTGCAGAAGGGTACCAAAGCCCCATCTGGACTCCTGGGAAAAGAGTACTCTTATCCACTAATAGTTTGCCATCAGCAAGACCCAGTTATAGTCTTGAACCCTTACTCTGCTTGCTCTACAGTCTTACATCCTTGCTCAAAGAAGAGAAAATGGAGACTCAAATGACTTAAGAGCCTTTTCCGAAGTCACCCACCTAGTTGGTAGCTATGCTAATGTTTAATAGGAATATCATTGTTTCCAGTCCATAATAGGCTTCTACAGTAGATTCTAGACAACTGATCTGGGTTCTGTGGGCCAGAAAAAAAGTATCTCCAGTATAAGGAATGGACCACTCTGTCATTTTCTTAAGGACTATAGGATACAGATGTTTAAAATACTCAGTAAGAAAGGATATGGTCTRTTTCAGAGAGCACTGAGTCTTTAACAGAAATCAAATTCTGTTAAAGGAAAAATAGGAGTCATCCTAGTAGTCTCTGCTTGAGCTAATCCATGTTACCTGTTARGCAAAAGGAAGAATAGACCAGAAGACAGCTAATTGAAATTGATGACCAGGTTTGCCTGTGACACATTCAGAAAAAATTCTTGTTTTGAAGGCTGGCTCTGATCCGGAGGTTCAGAGGAGGTGTAGAATCAAGCAAAGCCTTGTGAAGTTGTTGTATTTGCATTTGGTTTTGGTTTACTCACTGAGAAAGTACGTGGGCAGTTGTGTGTGTGTGTGTGTGTGTGTGTGTGTGTGTGTGTGTGTGTGTGTGTGTGTGTATGGGCACGCGCACCCATGTGCATGCATAAGTAATGGTGTTCTAGCTGAAGCAATTAGATAGTAAGCAGGTGACATTTGAAGAAAGAGCATGTTCAACATTCTTAGCAATCAGGGAAATGCAAATCAAAATTATTCTGAGATTTCATTTTATTCCAGTTAGAATGGCAATCATTAAGAATACAGATAACAATAATTGCTGGTGTGAATGAAGGGTAAAAGTACACTTATCCATTGCTGGTGGAATTGCAAATTGGGACAACCATTTTGGAAAGCAGTATGGAGATTCCACAGAAGACTAGGAATGGAAACTACATAGGCCCAGCTATCCCACTCCTTGGTATGTATCCAAAATAACTAAAATCATCATGCTTTTGTAATTCATGCATACCAATGTTTATAGCAGCAAAATTCACAATAGCCAAGTTATGCAACCAGCTTAAGTGCCCATTGACAGATGAATGGATAAAGAAATTGTGGTATATATACACAGTGGAGTTTTATTCAGCCATAAAGAAGAATGAAATTATGTCATTTGCTGATAAATGGATGGAACTAGAGAACATCCGACTAAGTGACATAAGCCAGATAACCCACTTGAATCTAATGTATGAAATATGATATGTCAAGAGCTTTGTAATGTTTTGAACAACCGATAAAAAAATAAAAATAAAAGAAAGTCAAAGATTGAATATTTTTTTCTCATTAGTAGAAGCTGGGGGTAGGTATAAAAAAGAGGATCTCATAAAAATAGAAGGGATGCCAATAGAGTAAAGGAAAGGAATCAAGAGGGAGGGAGAAGAGGATGACATGAGGAAGTATTGGAGAATKAATGAAATCTATAAAATTATGCTGTGTCCACATATGAATATACTACAGTGAATCCTGTTTATTTTTAATATTTATTTTTTAGGTGTAGATGGACACAACACAATGCCTTTATTTTTTTATGTGGTGCTGAGGATCGAACCCGAGTCCCGTCCGAGCTAGGCGAGCGCTCTATCTCTGAGCCACAATCCCAGCCCCGTGAATCCTGTTTTTACACACACACACACACACACACACACACACACACACAGTGCACTAAGATGATAATAATAATGATAGAAGAGAGATCAGTAGAGCAAGTGAATGGGGGCCTTCCCATGCACTTTTGAATTCAATTGGTATGCATGTATCACAAAAGCATGATGATTTTAGTTATTTTGGATGAATACCAAGGAGTGGGATAGTTGGGTCATATGTAGTTTCCATTCCTAGTCTTCTGTGGAATCTCCATACTGCTTTCCAAAATGGTTGTCCCAATTTGCAATTCCACCAGCAATGGATAAGTGTACCTTTCCCCCTCCATTCACACCAGCAATTATTGTTATCTGTATTCTTAATGATTGCCATCTCATCAGTAGAGTAGAGCAGGTGAAGGCGGGGAAGGGAAGGTGCTAGGGAATGAGATGGATAAAGTTGTTATATGCATGTACAAATATAAGAATCCCACTATAATGTATGATTATGAGGTATCAATAAATAATAATAATAATAGAGATATGGAAGTAAAGGAGAAGAAGAAGTCRGAGTAGAATGTGTTAATACTAAATCAGTTCATTGGTATCTCCAGGACTTGTATTCATGGCTCCTACAGAAAACGTGCATTATAACACGCTCTGCATTTAACAGTCTGCCATTTATCAGTCACTGGGCCATAATAATGACTGACATTCATGGAAGGCATGATATATGCCAATAGTGGACTTTGAATACATTATTTTAATGTCAGCCATTCCAAAGAAGTATGTGATGTCCTTGCCTGCTTTATAGTGGGGAAACAGAGGTTCACATTAACTGCAAGGGAATACTGAAGATTCAAACCCAGGTTTGATCTGATTCTAAAGCTACCACCCATAGCTATTAGCATAATACTGCCTTCTCATCCAGCTTCTCTGAACCTCTGTTCTTATCTATGAACTGTAGATAATACCTAGAGAAGCACTGGAAGAACCAGATTTTGTGAAAACTTTATAAAAGTTTGTCAAGTACTACTCTGAAATAACTTGTTGGCCTGGGGTTGTGGCTCAGTGGTAGAGCGCTCACCTAGCATGTGTGAGGCACTGCGTTCAATTCTCAGCACCACATATAAATAAATAAAATAAAGGTGCATTGAACAACTAAAAAAGATTTTTTTAAAAGAAAGAAAATAAGTTGGTATTATTTATAAATAAGGATTTAAACCATGAAGGAGCATTTCATTGTTATATCATTTATTCATAGCCAATGAGCAATGTTATGTAGTTTTGCTAACAAGTTATTTTATTTCATCCTTTATGGGAGTTTTTTTTTTTCAAATGCATCATTGATTATTTAGCTAGCTACAATTTAGGCTTTGCTCTCCTATCATAAATGTATCCTTTTCCCTAAACAGTCATGCTTGAGGGGACTGAGTAATTAACTTTCAAAATAATTACAGTCGCACAGTAATAGATACCACCTACAGATCTTTTGAATGCTCATTATTTTGGCATGAACATAGTTTATCAATTTTCATATATCTCATTGTTAACATGTTAAATCTTAAGGACAAATTTGCTGAGCATATTAGATGTAAAATATTAGTACCACACAAACAAAAAGGGAACGTAGCTTAACTGTTGCCAGTTAATCCAACGCAGACTTCAAAGCCATGTTTAAAGACCTTTGAAGCAGTAGATCAATTAAGGGGATGGATTTTCCCACTATGAGTACATTTCCCCTTCTCCATTCATAGGACTATTTGATGGTCCAAAATATAGCAGAGATATCTAGATCTTCTGTTTATATAGGATAATTAAAATCTTGAAACCTAATGAATGTTTTATGATGTTTAATAAGAAGTATTTGTTCTCACAGAAATTAAGAGAAATTTGAACACCCTACTGAAATTCATGGCACAAAACCAGAAATTAACTAATTAACTTAGTTTAATGGACTTTAGAAAATGACCCTTCRACTTTCTGAGTAAGGATTGGAATAGAAAGTTCTAAGTGAGGTTCTGCCTTAAACAGGAAGCAGGGCTGATTTTTCTGGGCTTGGAATCTTACAGCCTGGGGAGCATAGGTGGGGTATCCAAAACATGGCCGGTGTGGATCCTCTTTCACCATCAGGATTTTTATATTTCACAGAATATTTGAGGCTTCCGAGCATCACGTCATCTCTGTTTAGGAATCACTTCCCATCCTAGTTTTTCTGTTTTTCATCCTTGAGTTATTTATGGCTCCTGTACTCAGTGACACCATTGACGTTTGGTTTTACTCTTTGTCTGTTGGGGTCAGCTTTTATAAGTCGAGGCCCCCCTTTGTAGGTAGCCTTTTTATTCAACAGGAGATGATGGTGTGAACACACGTGAACAGTGGCAGCACACAGCGTCTGAAGTTTTACCAAGTTTTATTGGTTCCAATTGGGAGAACTTCCTTGTGGATRTTGACTTGTTTTTCTGTTGTTTCCATAGAAACGCTCCAGAGGGCAAGTGCTGTTTGACAAAGTGTGTGAACACCTGAACCTGCTAGAAAAGGACTACTTTGGCCTCACRTATCGAGATGCTGAAAATCAGAAGGTGAGAGAGAAGAGCAGTGCGAACTGCTGTGGCTTGAATCGCTCCCCCAGGAAAATCCAGAAGGGTGGATCACTTTCGCCACCCTCCCTCACACGCCTACTTTTATGACTTAGCATCCCCCAAATACTGTTCCTCACCCCTTTTCTTCATGAAAGAAATCCTGGCCAGCTTCCTTTGTTCTTGAATATCTTGAAAAAGTCAGCCCTGTTTTTCATCCTTGAGTTATTTATGGCTCCAGCAAAGTATTTTATTTGGTGCTTTTTTAGATAATATATATTTCAGTGGAATATTTGAGCCCAAGAAATATAAACACTTTGATACTTATGAAGAAAACGTGTTCATGCCCCAAATTCTATGAAGATATTACAGTTGTGGCATAAACTGTTGGAGCAGTTCACTATTGGGGCTCCTGTCTTTTCTCTTGATTCATCTTCTTATATTTTCATTTTCTTAACAAGTCAAAATAGGAGGTGGTGCATTTRCTAACCTGACACCTGTAGTTTCATGAGTTCTTAATATTTAAGGCAATACCTCTGTAGGTGCTTACACCTGAGGAAAGTCATCTTTTTAAAACGTTTCCCCACAACTACCTGAAAAATAAGGAGAAGATTGTTTCCATTGTACTAGTGCTAAAAACTAAGTCACATAAGTTTTGCTCATAGATGTTGCTTACCGTTGTGGTGTATCTTGAGTCAGACTCATTCTTACRGAATTTACTAGACAGTGTCTGACTTCATTATTAAACATCTGAMTTCTCTGATGAGGAAGACAGACCACTGATCTCAAACAAGTGTTCATTTGTTAGAAAAGGTTTAAGAAGATGCCTAAGCATCTGTGATGATAGAAGTCACTAAYGTAGAAGTGAATGTCTAGAGCCACTGGGTGTCAGGATATGTAAATCTTTTAATTTATTTTGGAAACTTGTTTGAATTCTGATCTTCTCCCATTTTTTTGCCCTTCTGTGTCTATGCTAGCAGAGATCCCTGAAGGTAATGGTTGTAAAAGAAAAATGTCAAGYATGAAGGGCACATGTGTGTATTTTCTCCTTAGACCAGTGTCCAGACCCTCACAGGGCAGGGCCAGGCGGAGGCCACCAGAATTGAGGGAAGGGTGGGGAAAGCATTGTGGGAATGTCTGCATCAAAGCAACATTAAATCACCTTTATTCTTCTCTGATTCCAATTCATCATGTCATTTCCTTTGCAGAATTGGTTGGACCCTGCTAAGGAAATTAAAAAACAGGTTCGAAGTAAGTTCTTTTGTATTATTTTACRTGGCAAGGTAAAGATATTTAAGAGAGCCGGTTAATCTGAATTGGTAGCTCATACCCAAGTGGCCAATGTGAATAGAGGTTTTTGAAAGACAGATTACAAGTTCATATTTGATCTGGCACATTGATCCAGCTCAGACAGAACCCATTTTTTTGTCATTATAACTCAAATTAAAATAACTTTGACACTTGACCTATTCCTCTGCCTGTACACCCATGTGAAATGTATGATTTAATCATGTCATGCTCCATTGGCASTTAATCATTAAAAGTTCCAAATTTAATTATTAATGTTGTATTAAGCCTAGTTGTCATAAACACTTAAAAACCAGGCTAAAAGCAGTAGTCATTTGATACATTAAAGATGGAATAACAATTCAGAATGAAGTTTATTGTCTGGTGACAACCTCTTTTCTTAGTCCCTGAAAGTGAATTAATAAATATATATTTCCCCMAAAAAGAGAAATATATATTTTAATGAATATATAAAAAAATTCCCTGAGCACATCTCAAAATTGAAACATAAGTGGCCAATAAGCCAAATGCTAAATCTAATGACCAAATGCATTTTAACCTGAGAAATCATTTTCCATCTGTTTGGATTAACAAAGATTTTAAAAGTTTAATGTGTTTAATAATAATTGCACTGACTACTAAGAACCCAACGGGTAGAAGTATAAACTAGTGCAACCTCCCAAGGGAGCAGTTTGTCAGTATTTATTAAAATTTAAAATGTACCTACTCCTTGACCTTCCATTTTACTTGAAGAAATYAATTCAGCATATGTGTTAGAGAAAAAACTGCAAGTGTGTACACAAGTGAAAGTTCATTACAGTGCTGTTTGCAGTAGCAGGAAACTTAAGGCAAGTTAAATACCCATTTATAAAGATGATTAAATCAATCAGGGAATAATCATAGACAGATGTCTTTGGTCTTATTAGTGAAAATCAGGTTGAAAATCATATCTGTAATATAATCACATTTGCTTTTTAAAAGTTATGCATATATAGAGCCGGGTGCAGTAGCACACACCTGCTGTTTGGGAGGCAGAGGCAGGAAGATCACAAGTTTAAGGCCAGCCTCAGCAACTTAGTGAGGCCCTAAGTAACCTAATGRGATGCTGTCTGATTAAAAATCAAAAGGACTGGGCAAAGAAATGAATCAGACATAACTTTCCTATGTTCATATATGAATATACCACAGTGAAGCTTCACATCATGTACAACCGTAAGAGCAGGGTCCTAATTAGAATAAAATATATTCCATATATGTATAATATGTCCAAATATACTCTACTGTCATATATAGACGATATATATATATATATATATATATATATATATAACAAATTAATAAAAAAACATAATGCACATAGGAAAAATGGGGGACTGGGGATGTGGCTCAGTGACAATAAAGCTTTCCTGAATTCAGTCCTCAACACCAAAAATCAAAAATAAAATGTTATGCTTATACAGAAGCATGGGATATTTGTAGAAAGCATGACAGATTAACAGTAATTATCTCCAGAAATGGCCTGCACTATAGAGACTTGAGAAAGGAGGTTTGCTAGTTTTATTTTTTAACATTCTCTATAGCTATTACTTTTGCCATAAGCATGGAAAATCTTTATTGTAAATAGCTACTTATTTTTTTTAAATGGCTCATATTTTTATCAATAAAACTAAGGATAATTAGCTTAATTATCCTGAATAACTAATTCAAGTTGAAGAATAAAGAATAAATTTAAGTTCAAATAATTAGTGGGAATATCCTTCCATTTTAAGTTTTCAAAGAGTTTACTGTTAAAAGAGAGGAAAATCCTTYTTAGTGCCTTTGAAAGTCCTGAGATATAAAAATAACCCAAGTACTAATAAAACAATTGGTAATGAGCAGTTGGAAATGGTTTGATTTTAGATAACATCCCTCCCAAAGTCACTGTCKTCTAGATGTTAGAGAGTCTGTTGATTATTTATACAATTCAACATCATTTACCGTATTCTGAAGAAAGACTCAGTGTATCCACTGATCAATTAGTTGGATGGAAATAGTTTGAGATTGAAGACAGGAATATCTACTGTTGATAAATAGATCAAAACACTTTTTTCTTGTTCCAAGGAATCCTAATAAAAATTTTATGATGACAGATGTGTTCTAAAGGTTTTATATGGCATTATTAAAAGCAGATGTGAAGAACATATATCATAGTGTTTTGCATAATGTTATCTTGTATACATCTAACTAATGAAATGTCGAGCTGATTAGTAATTGCAAAGTGCTTTGAAAATATGTAAAATGCTCAAGAATAAGTTGTAATACTGTTACAAGAAAGGTGGTATAAACTTTTTTGCATATTGTTAGTAGAATTTCTTTTTCCCCCTTTTCCATTTATGCTGTCTCCTATCTTTTTGAGACACAAAATTTAAAAAGATAATCTAAGTATGAAATGTAAAGGATATTTTTTCATCATGCAGATTAGGAAGTCATGTGAATCATAAATAAATAAAAAAACAAAAAGCTATGTTGCAGGAGAGGAGCCAAAGGAAATTGGAAGTTATTAAGAGTATAATTTGTATTTTTTTTCTATCTTCTTGTTTCCTATCTACTAAAATGTCCYCTTTCCACAAAATTTCTTCCCACCAGAGCAGAGAGGTGTTATATTATATAATCATTTGCCATCACATGTTTCTTCCTAGAGATGACAAAGGATCCTTTTTTATGCTGTAGGTCCATAGTAGACTCTRCATGGAGATCAGTTAGAGAACGGAGATCAATCTGATATACATTTTAAGTTACAAATTTATGATACATGGTAATTTTTAAAACCAAAAAGTTTGTTCTTAATAAAAAAAACCAAAAAACTCTAACTCTAGTCATGTTTAATGCATGCCAGATCTTAAAACCTCTAAAAATACTATTTTTTTATAATAAGTAAAGCATATTTAAAATATGGTAATTTTATGATATAGAATATATGGTCTATAGTAATTTCATGATATAAATGAAATTTTAAGATTTGGCCTGCTTTAGGAGAGTACAATTAGAAATTTTTCGTAAGAATGAACTCCCTTCAATGCCATTATCTGTTTATCATAAATTTGCAATTTAAAAATCCTACATCAGCATTATAGAAATATTCATTTTAATGTGTTCCAGCTGTTTCATTTCCTGTTTCTCACCAGGGCCCTCATCAGAGCAGATGTGGATCTGCAAGTCACTCATYGCATAAGTGCACCCTCCCGAGTTATTTGTTTCTGCCACTTTCTTTTTAAGGATGTGTATTTGAGCTTTATCTTCTTTGCTCATTAATCCCAGGTTTTATGCCTTATCTCACTGACTTTTTTCTTGATTGGAATGTAGATTGTAGTTTCCATAAACTTTCCCATCATTTCAAAATAATRCCCTGAAAGAAAAGACCTTGTAGTTGCTTGGATAATAACCTTACATTTGGATTTCTTAGTAGTAGTGATTTGCACTGTGGTTCCAAAGTCTACCTCCGTCAAAAGCACAAAAGATATTAATAAAATTACGACTTCTAGACCATATTCCAAGTCTCAGGAATAAAAATCTCTGGGATAAAGCCTAGAAATAGGCATTTTTAACATGTTATTTCAGTTTCTTTTTAGGCCCACTGTTATTTGCAACATACTTTCCTAAAATGAGGATTTTTGCATTGAAAAGGGTTGCTTATGCTTTTATTACTTACTGTTTTCCAACTTAGAATTTTTACCCTGAGTTTATTATAAGATTGTTTTAATTACATTGCCAGACTATTCATTGGAGTCGAGGCATACTTTGAAGTCGATGAAAATTACAAAAGAGCAATAAATCCGTTTCCCATAACTAATCCATTACTTTTAATTTCACTTGAGGGAAAGCCAGCTCTCGTTATGAGTCTTCCTACTGGCAAGCGTTAAAGGGATCTATTTTAGTAGGAAGTGAGCAGGAATCAATAGGAAAGTAAAACCAAATCAGACTAATTTTAGAATAAGAAAAGGATTTTTTTTTTAAGAACAGTGGAAGAAACAACCATTAGAAATATATTTGATTAACAGATATTTTATGGCTTATAATTCTTATAGCCCATATTTGAGTAATATTTTGACTGGTTTACACTATGATATTAACTACCCAATAATATCTGATCCTATGCTAAGTCCTTTATAGTAGAGTTCTTGGCATGTGGAATCTCAAGTGTGGTATAAATAGTAGCATCAAGAATAAACTAGAAAGAATAAATGGGTCTGTGTATTTTATGACAGAAACATAGGGTCCTGAAGAAGCTAAGTGTTGCCACGCATACAAGAAACAGTACAAAGAAAGCAGCTAAGAAATATTTAACTTTACTGTACCTTTTTTTTAGAGTGTTGGGAGGTGCTTCTAGGGGAAAAAAAATGAAGTTTCCAAAGTCATTGAATTGGGGTGGGGAGAGCATTTGGAAGTCTTGAGAGAGTACCTGAAGCATAAGTGCTGTTCTGTAAGGTCACAGAAGCATGGCTTCAGGTCACACCCATGGATAGAAGCCAGTRAGCCTGGGAAGAGTTTTCTGGTAGTCCATTCGGAACAGAAGCAGGGCCAGAGGAACTTCTAATGTGTTTATGGGGTGGAGGGTAAAAATTATTTATAAATAGTGTCACAGAGAAGAAATATTCAAASTTTGGTAAATTAATACATTGAGAAGCCAAAATAACAATATGAATAAGTTAAAGGAGTTTTCACACAGATAAAATAAGAGAAGGAGAAAAGGATGTTTATTCTTATTTATTTTGATAAACCATTCACAATTAAAGATAGTATTGATGAGATATGGAGCTTAGTTAAAGCTAAATAATGTTTTAAGGATAATGGTAGCCAACACAGAGAGTTAGGTACCTGTGAAGGAACATCTCGTAGACCCTTTCAGCTGCTGGAGTAGATACTGCAGGATAAAGAGTGATATTGTRAAGATCTGCCCAAGTCATGGATTAAAGGGGTGTAAAATTGGGTAATGCACGGCCAGGGATGTATTGCATCAAAAATTTTCTTAAATAAAAAATAAAAAAGAACATTTCACAGCCAGCAGAGCAGCCCACTTATGAAAGCAGTATTCACCACAGCAAATCTTTCCATAAAATAAATTGTGTTGACTAGTCCCTTGACATTTATTATAATAGGATCTGACCTGTAACAACACAATGAAGCGCAAAGAAAATTGGAATTGGGTCCATAGCCTTGGTATGTGAGCTCTCCAGAAATTCAGAGCAGTAAATCTCGTCATTTCCAGACTTATCTGATAGAGGATTATCCATATCATTCACTTTCCCTCCCCCAACTTCTTCCTGAGGCTTATCTTTGATCCTGGGAAAGAGAGGAAGTTCCGTCAATTTCCTTTCTAGTTAGAAGGACCAGTAAAGGATTTGATAATAGAGAAGATTAGAAATTAGATGAGGTTTCAGTCTTATCCTGTGGATTTCATTTAACAGAGATGTCCTTGTTTTCTATTAGTGATCAAAGCTGCCTGGCTGTTAATGCTTAGAGTTGAGATGGTTCTAGCTATCAATTAGAATCCTAAGTCTTGCGGAGTTTTCTGAGGTTTTAATCTGATTCCCCCACCTTCTTCTATCCTTACAGGTGGTGCTTGGCAGTTTTCATTTAATGTGAAGTTTTACCCACCAGACCCCGCTCAGCTATCTGAAGATATCACCAGGTATTTGACGATTGGTGTTGAATAGGAAGTCATACTGGGAATGTGGTGCGGCTCCCAACATCTCCAGAGAAGAGCACACTTACATCTCGTGGCCTTACAGTCATCCATGSTTGTTTTAGTCGGCTTTTTTGCTGCTGTGACTAAAAGACCCAACCAGCACAATTTTGTAGATTTATTTGGGGGCTCACAGTTTCAGAGGTCTCAGTCCAGGGACAATGGCAGACAGAACATCATGGTGGAAGAGTGTGGTAGAGACAAGCAAGCTCACATGATGATCAGGAAGAAGAGAGAGYGACTCCACTTGCCAGATACAAATATATATACCCCAAAGTCACGCCCCCAATGCCCACCTCCTGCAGCCACACCCCACCACTTCAGTTACCACGCAGTTACCACTCAGTTACCACTCAGTTAATCCCTATCAGGGGATGAATTCACTGATTAGGTTAAGGCACTCACAACCCAATCATTTCTCCTCTGAACCTTCTTGCATTGTCTCACATGGGAGCTTTTGGGGGACACCTCACCACCATAACAATGCTCAAATGGCAAACAAAAGGTAACTGAATGAAGCACACATCTGATGAGAAGATTTGCCAAATCTAGCTCACARTTGAATCTTTGGTGCTAGGCTGATATTTCCGGCTGCCTGACCCTGGTGGGAAAACATGCAAAATTGAGATGCTGTCACCCACCCACCACAGTCAAATTGGATGAGATTCAGTCTTCAATGATAAAGCAATTCTTAAGTGTGCCTTCTTTAAAACTTAGAGGCAAAAAGTCTTTAGATGTTTATGCTCTGCATATAATCAACCTCTCATCTGTCTAAAAATAAAAAATGACATTCATATCAATTTAAGGTTAACTTTTCATGCCCAGTGTATACAAGGAATATGATTAATTTGTTTTCTGAAATAAAGATGTTAAGAAAAGAATCTGACATAAAAATATCCCAGCTTGGTGGCTGAATTTAGAGTGTGAAAAGGGATTTCCTTTATAAAGCAGTGCTGGGTAGCTTAGTCTGTTCAGGCTGCAATCATAAAATCCCAGAGACTGGRCGGTTTAAAAACAATAGGAATTTACTTCTCATAGTTCTGGAGGCTGAAAGTTTGAGATCAGAGTGCAAGCAGGGTCATATTCTGGTGAGGGTCTATAGTAGACCACTGGCTTCTTACTGTGTTCTTGCATAGTGGAGGTGGGAAGGATGAGGGGGTCTTCCTCTGGCCTCTTTTGTAAGGGTACCAGTCCCATTCTTAAAGGCTCTACCTAATCATTTCTGGGGAAAACAAAACACCTCTAATCCATTACCTTGGTGGGACAGGATTTCAACATAAGAATTTGGGGGATGGGAATGGGGCCACAAACATTCAGCCTGTCATTCTTGGTTTACTGAATGTCCTCCTAGATGGCCCTACATTCTGCTTTGGAAACTCTGACTCTTGCTCTGTTTGGTAGTAAGTTTATGATCATGCAAAACAATTTTGTCCTGTGTGTGAATATTTTTCTATGTAAGGCTCATATTTTTTTAGCTGTTCATAAAAGAGAAATGACCCAAAACAGCTTTAGTAACTTGCTACAGTAAAAATAATTTCATTTGATATATTAGAAAGGTAGCAATTAGTTCCAGAGGATTTTTTTTTCTATTGGCAATAAGGCAAGAGAAAATTTATAATTTCTTATAAGCAGACACTTTTTTGTCAATGTTGAAGAACTATTTCATCATTTATGGTCGTGGAACCCAAGTATACTTGTATTTAAAAATTTAGTGTGTGGTTCCCTTCTATCTTCTTGTGTAATGTTTGTAGAGTCTGTTAAATACTTCGGAATTTTTATATCTGGGTTATATGGATTTTACTTACATCAGCACCAAATCACCCGACAGGGGACCTTAAGACTTTGCAATAATAGTCTGTTCCAACAGACTAACTGTTCTTTTCTTATATAGAAGGTGCATGAGTGTTATTAATACTCAGCAAGGTTAATACTTAACCTTGAGGTCTTTTGCAGTTGGTATTATACCTGTAATGMTTAAGAATAAAATAACAGAGAAGATAAATCAGCTATTGATAGGAATATTTTTATCATATGACAAAATTATATAAAAAATATTTTCTATTTCTTCAGTTTAAAGCTGTTTACTTACAGGGACAAGATTCTCAGATTATAAGTTAGTAGTTCCTTGAAATTAATATTCAGGTCAGTTAGATTCTAGGGAGATATCTAAATAAAAAGAAATAACTTAAAGCAGGAGAAAGCATTATTATAAAGAGATGATGTCATCCAAAATGCAGGGAGTTGAGAACAGAGTTTATGAAGGTAGGASTCTTACCTAAAGTCTGTCTTAGTCATGTGGTAAGATCTGTCATCCAGTTATCAAAATCATCCCTCTGAAAGGCTAGTTGGAACCTAATAATTATATGCAAGAGCATCAATTTTTGAATTATAATTCCACCAACCAGGGGTTTCTGGGAGTGTGTTGAAGACTGTCTTTAAGACTTTAAAAGTTATTTTTATTGATGTGTTATAATTATACATAATAGTGGGATTYATCATTACATACTCAAGCATGCATACAACATAGAGGATACGTTTAGATTTCTTCTACTGTGGTTTATTATGACCATTGCCTTCTTCTTTAAATACTATATTTTATWGCCTAGTATTTTCCCCTGATATCTAGATCAAATATAGATGAAACAAATATATCAGCATCTGTGAATGGTAGGAAATGTGTCCTGGACAGGTTATTGCATGGGGAGAAATTGTCTACCTACAGTTTTTACTGAATGATCYCCTTTTCATGTGTCCTAATGCTGGCCTTTTATTTTGACCTTTCGGCTCCTGGAAGGTACTACCTCTGCCTACAGTTGCGCGATGACATCGTATCAGGAAGGCTGCCCTGCTCCTTTGTGACCCTTGCCCTGCTGGGCTCCTACACAGTCCAATCAGAACTTGGAGACTATGACCCCGATGAATGTGGGAATGATTACATTAGTGAGTTCCGCTTTGCACCAAACCACACTAAAGAACTCGAAGATAAAGTGATCGAGCTGCACAAGAGCCACAGGTCAGTGAACAGGAGCATACATTTAACTTTTGCTTTATGGGTGAGCATCAGTTCTACAGCCTGTCTCTTCCCAGTGTTGATTTCAGTACATTAAGGATGGGATTTTTAGCACAGTGGGTCTTTACATGGGAAAGTTCTGGAGTAGGTAAGCTTTCCCTCAGAATATCAAGGCATCTATTTGTAATGTTGTCCTTCAAAGCCATTTTTCTTGTTATTCTTTTCTCAGATGCTGAGTATCCCTTACCCAAAATGCTTGGGCCCAGAAGTGTTTCAAATTTCAGATTTTTTTCAGACTTTGGAATATTTACATATATATATAATGAGATGCGTTGGGGACGGGACCCTAGTTTCAACACAAAATTCATTTTATGTTTCTTATTCATCTTACACATGAAGTTAATTTATAGTACACCTGGGTTTGGACTAACTGGTCTCATGAGATCAGGTGTGGAGTTTTCTACTTGTGACATCATGCTGGMATTCAGAACTATTCAGACTTAAGATTTTTAAATTAGGAATGGTCAACCTGTATCTGCCAGTGCCTCAATAGATGCTTTCTTATAAATTAACAGGGAGCTAAGTGGGAAATTTTGCAACCCAGCCAGATAAAGGATAAGCAATTAACTGAAAAAGGAAGGAAAATCAGCTAACTGCTTTTTCATTCTAATGAATAAAAGGGAAAGGCAACGTTGTAACACTTTTTTTTTTCCCTAATCAGAGGAATGACGCCAGCAGAAGCCGAGATGCATTTCTTGGAAAATGCCAAAAAACTGTCTATGTATGGAGTAGATTTGCATCATGCCAAGGTATGCATTTTTAAACCCCCCACTCTTTTATTTAATTCAACTCTGTTACCGTAATTCTTATTTTAGTGAATGTAATGGAAATATTGGGGGTGCAAATTTCTGTTTGCCTTGCAAGCCCTATTTCATGTTAAAAGAAACTTAGCTCTTTGGTATTTACTGGAGGGGTTGCTTTTCATGGCTCAGACTCACTCTCCCCATGGGCTAAGCCTCCTGAAAGCCCACAGTASACAAACCCTCTGATTGCCTGTTGATTCAGTTGGAAGCTTATCTTGACCAAACAAGCTCTTGGACCCTGCTGCCTTCTCTGTTTTCTCCCTCTCTGCACCAACATGCACCTTTTGCTGCCTCTGCACCCTGACTCTGCCTCTTCCCTGAATATGTCCATCTGACATGTGACTTCTCTGCTCTTTCATGTCTGTCTGTCTCAACTTGGTCTGTGTATGTCCCTCATTCTAGAACCCCACCAGGTACTTCGTAAATTCATGTTATATTTTAAGAATTYTGTCTCTTGTGTTTAAGCACTCGTACATGTAACCAGTACTTTGAAATAAGATTATTTTTAAAGTGCAACCAGAACTAGTGATCCTGGCTAAGAATTGCCTTGTTGACTGATAATGGGGGCAGTGTTAGAGATGTATCTTAGCAAGAAAGAAATTGGAATTAACCTGTAGGGCTTCAGTGTTTAAGACACATTTAAAGCAGCTTTGACCCTGTCATGCTTTTTCTAGAATCTCTGTGCTATTCAGAAGCGAGAGAATGAGCATGTGGACTACTCGTAGTCTAATATTTAAAAAGCCATGGACAAAGTACCATGAAAATATGGGGAAGATTTTATGAGAACTTTTATCAGCAAAACATATGCAATTTGTTAGGTTTCTAGAGATGGATTCTGATATTTTTGCTGTGTTTAAAAGGTCAATATTTAAAGTTCAGGGTTATTTAGGATTGACAAGATAATATCGCTCCTGCATAGGGATGTGGACTTGACCTCTGATAGACAGTCACCAATTTCACGGTCTGGGTCCCACAAGAATGTGCAATTACAGCCTTCCAGGCAGGCAAGTGTCTCCCACAGTCAGTTTTAAGGCTAGAAATGAAGAGCAATTTCAGCTGTCTGTGTTTAAGTAAACATCTCAACAACCTTGATCACCAAACAGAAGAAAATATGTGATTTGCAAGTTTTGTTGCTGCTCTTTGATAGATGTTCAGGGAGCAAACCAATCCTCTGTGACTTTGGACAGACAGATGGTAGCCATTGAATGAATGTGGGTTTGATTGGTGATGTCTGTGGGTGAACTACATCACAGAGAGGAGGACTTCCAATGCCTAAATACCAGCAAGATCACTGGGGTTTTACTGGGGACAAGTGTTGGTACACTAAACGGCAAGCTCTTTGACATTTATGTGTCATTACAACAGCAGGTGTAGCTGTTTACTTGCCAATTTTTTATTGCATGTTTTCACGTATTTTGCCCTTGGATAATGAAGATGTTTTTTCTCTCTTATGTCAGATATAAGTAGGGTAGAATTTCAACATAAAGATAAGAACCAGATAATTAAGTTTTTTTAAAATTTCTTTTAGAGTTTTTCCCTAGGTGGCTAAAAGATAACCAAAAAGGAAATAAAAGTAGCATGAAAATTTGAGTGAACCTAAAGCTATTTTTGAGTTCTACCTTGCACTTTGATGCATTAACTACCCTCCCCCAAATAAATAGATAAATAAATAAATGATTAGGGAAATGATTGAGGGAAGTGCAACTCAGGTTGTATCAGTGTTCCCATCAGTAAAAATAAAATCACTTCACATTGCTGTAGCTACTGAATTAAAATGGATGGCTGCTTTGTCATTCAATAATATGATTTGAAATTATGCCAATTAAGAAGAAAGAATTAAGGAAGTGCAAATGTAGCCCATTATAGGATTTTATCTGAATATTAAGTATAATAAACGATTCGTAGACTCCATTTTCTCATGCAGTCACACACCATCATTTCAAGGAGGAAATTTACTGAATTAAATTAGAGACAATTTCCAGTCATGAGCTAGATGCTTCTCCTTCTATGGATGGTATGAAAGTCCCAAAGCTTTATGATCCATTTAAGCATTCTGAATTGTGATCATGGACTCCACAGCTCCATATAAAGAATAAATACCCATATTAGATGAAGGTCCTATGTTTTAGAGAATCTATCCCAAAAGCTTTTTTTWAATTTTTTATTATTTTTAATGTTAGGAAGTCTATCTCTGCTTGTTTGTTGTTTAATGTTAGTTGTTTTTTGTTTGTTTGTTTGTTTGTTTGGTGGGGGAGAAGGGAGGAGGACCAGGGATTGAACTCCAGGGCACTCAACCACTGAGCCCCAGTCTCAGCCCTCTTTTGTATTTTATTTAGAGACAGGTTCTCACTGAGTTGCTTAGCACCTCACTGCCATTGCTGAGGCTGGTTTTGAACTTGTGATCCTCCTCTCTCAGCCCCTGAGCTGCTGGGATTACAGGTGTGCACCCCGGCGCTCAGCGCTTAATGTTAGTTTTAATAGACTTTTTCAGAGTCATTTATTTCATGTAAGATACAAAACATAGATATAAATCCCTGTCAGATACCCCATGGGCCAAGTGATACTGAAGGATAGCAGTGTGTGAGCCATGATTCTAAACGAAGGGAGTGTCATGGCCACTTATTTTCATTGTGACAGACTGAGACTTTCCAGGTCTACCTCAGTGTCCTGTTAATGGGAGTATAAGTGTGTCTGTTGAGAGTGAAATGGACCTGTCCCCAAGAAAGGCTGGCATAGCTTTTAATACCAAAGATTTATCCAACTAAGTACTCTGGTCAATGTCAGAAAATTTGGTATGTACATATTTTTTGTCCCTATGCAATTAAAGAAATAGACCCTTTAGCCAGTGTAATACCCCACTTTTCCTGCCATTTTTATTCCTCATTCATTTTTACTTTCAGCAGGCACACATTAGTTTGATACATGCTGGGCAGGCCTGTGCTGGCCATGAGATTACAAATAGAAAACAGAACTGCTGCTCCTCATCAGCATACAGTCTCCAGGGAAGGAAGACAGGGAGGGAATCTTATTTTAGGACCATTTAGTAAGGTTGTGCTTGTGATAAGAGACTGATTTGGGACCAGAGCAGAATGTTGGAGGACCCAAGAAAAGGAGGTTTTATTCCTTCCTCCTCTTTCCCAGGAGGGGATATTGTTTCCTTGTGATCAAGGACACTAATGGTGATTTAACAATAGATAAAACCGAAAAAGGTTTTAAATGGCCTTTCCCTCTGTGGACCAAAGGCTATTTCCTAAACTTACATTCTATATTGAAAAGAAAGTGAACCAAAGAACAGTTATCCAAGCATTCCTTCCTCATGCCTGCCTTTCTGCCTCCTGGCAGGAGGTGGTCACCTCTGAGGGGTTGTGCAGATGGGCTGGTTCTCAAGAATCAGTAATACCAATAACTTGGGAGCCTCGGGTTATAATTCTTTAACTTGCATGGTCACTATAGCCTCTGATAAATAGTGGGCAGTTTCTGATCTTTGGTTTCTCTAATTGTATTATATTCTAATATCCTGCCATCCAATAGTTCCATTCCTGTAGAGTAATTCAATATCTAATGGAGTGATATGTTTCCAAGGTAAGATATTTAATTCTAAACCAATTATATTCTGTTAGTAAACTTCCTGTTTCCCGGAGATGGACCAATATATTAATTTTTTATGCCTTGCATCTATAGGATTTAGGAAGTATCTTCCCACTGTAAGCATGAGTGAAAATCTCCTCTCTGAATTCTTAATTTTTTCCTTCGCTGCTTTGCTATTATTGCAGAGTAATTCAAAGTCAGGGACAGCCCCGTCAATGATAAGAAGGCCTGAGCATAAGGTGTGATCAGTCCGTGACCCTTTCTGTCCAGATTCCAACAAACAGGTGTAACAAGGCATTAATGCTGCAGCTCACATTTAGTCCTGCCTCAGTATTTTTCACCCAATTCAAGGCCATGTTCAGTTTCATTTTACCCCGATTTCAGTGGAATGCAGTATTTAACAGGGACAACCTATGTACAATATCCCTCTTAAACTTAATGTAATAGCTAATGACCTCTGGGCATCACACATTTCTTAGGAAATTATGTAAAAGATGAAATGTCCAAGTAACAAAAGCAAGTTGAAATTATAATAGCATCCCATTTTTGATTAAAAAAAACAACCTGTAATTATATTTAAAGCGTATGTGCATTTATCTATAGGTGTCATATTATTTAGTGTGATTACCACTGGGCAGTGTTTCCATGTATGGAGGTATATTGGGAGCAGTAGGTTTATATTTTTTAAAAAACTTTCATTTTAAAAATTTTCCCTGACAATAATAGCAAATAAAGGTTGAGACTCTTTTCAAAGTAACAAGACTCAAAATGCTCAAAGAAAAAGACAGGTCCCCTCTTGTAAGTGTCCAAATCAGCTAAAAGTACTGCCAGATAGCATGTGTGCAGCTGAGACCCCATTTACAGTTTCCTCATCTGTAAAATGGGAATAATAATAGCAACCATCTCAACACAGCATAGTGAAGATTGAAAAAGTTAAAATACATAGGATAGAGCAGTGTCTAGACACCTCATAGGTAAGAGCTACGTGTTATGGTTATTAATACACAGCCCTGCTTGGCCTTTGCTCTATGCAGCATTTATGCCATAAACCTGAGGTACCTGGGTGAACAAATATTACTCCAACAAATGTCCACAGTGAAAAATATCATTGTTAAAAACTTACTTAACTGGGTGTGGTGGTGCATACCAGTAATCCCAGTGCCTTGGGTAGCGGAGGCAGGAGGATTGAAAGTTCAAAGCCAGTCTCAGCAACTTAGTGAGGCCCTAAGCAACTTAGTGATACCCTGTCTCAAAATAAATAAATAAATAAATAAATAAATGAATAAATAAATGAATAAAAAAGAGTTGAGGATGTGGCTCAGTGGCTAAACGCCCCTGGGTTCAATCCTTGGTACCAAAACAAACAAAGCTTACTTAAGGGATGTTTTTAAAAATAGTCATTCAGTATTTTTTATATTTAAATTTTTCAATTTTAGATTCTGTCATGACATAAAATGTTGTACCCAATGAAAAGTAGAAAGAAGAGAGATACTGATATATTGTTTTTGTAATTCTCTAGGATTCAGAAGGAGTAGAAATTATGTTAGGAGTTTGTGCGAGTGGTCTGTTGATATATCGTGACCGGTTGCGAATAAACAGATTTGCCTGGCCCAAGGTTCTAAAAATTTCATACAAACGAAACAACTTTTACATTAAGATTCGGCCAGGAGAGGTAAGTATGTCTTCATTTGCATTTGCATTGGGGGAAAAAAAGATCCATAATAGCAAACAATAATATAAATTTTTTGCTCACAGATTCTAAGCACTGTGCAACATGGTGAATTATGTCTGAATCCTGAGAGAATTTGTTGTAGTTTTATCCAAAGCAGTAATAAATAAAATGTTCTCTTCTTTATTATGGTGTTCTAGTTGAGCTGCATACGCTAATTGAGAGGGTTTTTAAAAATATATTTTGGTATAAAATCAGGATTCATGAATAATTTTTTGTATATTTCAAGCTGTGATGAATAGATTTCTTCTTTTGTGTCCTGCTGTTATCACTCCTTTTCCTTTTTATGTTTTTCTGCAAGTCTGACTGTACCCTAAAGTAAATGTCTAGAGATGATGTGCTTCAAGATACAGAAAAGTTTAGAACAAAGGATGAGGAGGTGTGAATTATGTAAATAGTACACAGCCTAGTGCATTTCCAGTGTATTTCTGATTTCTTTTTAATCAGAGAAACTAATAAAAGAATCAGAATTCTTAATTCTTACTCCTTGGGCAGCAGCCTCCATGATCAAGTTATATTTATATATTCTTAGTGATTTATACATAATAAGAATTGAATTCTACTTGTATTTGTTTATGAGATAATTAATGAATATCTCCAATTTCTAATTGGTACCTTAATATACTAGAAACAAAACTCAAAAGATTCCAACTCCTATATATCTCTAAACACTTACTTATTCAATATAGTTTTATCCTGCCTTCAAAATACACCTCTGCTGTGTAATTTCTTGGTGGAAAATGCAGTTATAAAAAATCAGAAGATAAAGCTAGCAATCATGTTTAACATAAATATGACTTATATTAAATATTTTACATTATAAATATATTAAATATTTATATTAAATATTCAGTTGTCTGTGACAACTGAAATAATCCGTAAGCTTTTTTTTCATTTAAATACTTGAAACTGTAGTGTTTTAAAAATACTTGCAAAAATTGTTGGTGAAACTTATAACTGATATGTGTTCGTTTTAATTCATTGAACAACTATTTATTAAACGAGCAYCTATTTATTATCAGGCTCCATTGTGGGAATTGGATAGAGAGAAATATGACCTTGTTCTTTTTCTTAAAAAGATTTTTCTRTCAGAGAAACAGACTCAACCCTTGAATAATAACACCATGATACAAGAGAGGAGATGATCTATAGAAAAAGAGTGAGGGGCTTTGTTGTGGCTCAATGGTAGAGCACTTGCCTAGCATGTGTGAAGCACTGGGTTTGATCCTCAKCATCACATAAAGATAAATAATACAATAGAAAAGGAGTGAGTTCACTGTGAGGCCACAGGGGGAAATGACCTAGTAGATAGTAGTGAGCAGTGGAAGGCCTTAAGTTGACACACTGGATGAACATTCTGGAATGATGGGTTTCTCAATGAAATGCAGCTACTGAGTGATCATGTGATAAGACCCAAATCATTGCATGGAAGGAGCAATTGGAGATGGGTTTCAGGAGCAGAACCAGTAGTAGGTCTCTGAGACAAGATGAAGGAAGGGATTCAAAAAGGGAAGAATCCACATAACCAGAGGGGTTCCATTTGCATGACTAAAGTTGATGGAGATGATTTCCAACAAGAAAGAGAAAGGGTCAGAATTTGAAGGGGGGAAAAAAAAGAGATTAAAATTCCTTCAGGACTAATTTTCAAGAGGTAATTCTTGCCTAGTAAGAAATTGAATGGAGTCATCACCAACCGGATATATTTTACCCAAGTCTTGGATATATGGGATAAATTGCCCAAAGAGCAAGGGAAATTAGAGAAGAGGCCCTAAAATAAACACTCTGAGTGACACCACCATTTGATTGAGGGGCCAGTAGAAGAAAAACAGGAAGACAGSCAGAAATAAAAGAAAGGACAGAGGCTGTCAGATGACAGATGAGTTTCAGGGCCTAGTGGCTCACCAGCAGTGCCATATGTTACAGAGGGGGCACACGGGGTGCAGACTCAGTAACGCGTGTTGAACTTGATAGTCAGGTCCCTTTGTGGCATGGAAGAGTTCAGGAACGTGTTAGGAGCCACCTGCCAAGGGTGCATCGAGRCGAGGAGTGAAGTAGCAGAGGTAGCTTAGCAGTAAGGAGTGAGGCAGGGTTTGGCTGAAGCAGGCCCCAAATTGGCTTCCCACCCCATCCTGTTTTACAGACATATTGATAGGCAGGGAAGAATGAGAAGAAATTATTGATAGCCTATAGTCTGCAAAGAGGTTGAAGAACGCAGACACAAAGCACAGAGAAGTAAGCCTTCAGAAAGCCTAGGGGCCCAACTCATCCTTGTGTAAAGGAGGATGACAGTAAGACACTCTGCCCCACTAAAAATGTTGATCTCACATGAGTAGAGAGTAGTACTCTAAGTAGTTACCAGGGGCTGCAGAGCGGGTGATGGAAATGGTGAGAAAATGATCAACCTTGGGGTGCAGTGAGAAAATGATCAACCTTGGGGTGCAGTTGGATAGAAGAATGTTCTTTAGCTCAGTAGTGTAACTACATGGTCGACAACAATTAAACATGTATTTCAGAATACCCAGTATAGAACATGTGGAATATGTCCAGCACAAAGAAATGATATATGATTGAGGTGGTGGATAAACCAGTTACCCTGATCTGATCAGTACACATTGCCTATATGTGTTTAAATAGCACATGGTACCCCAGAAATATGTACAATTATTGTATGTCAGTAAAAATTTTTGAAAACTTTTGAAAAGCAACATACTTCTAGGCAACTTGCCCCAGAGAGCAAGGTGACTCTGTTTTGTAAGTCTTGGCTTTAGCATAACGCAGGGGCATATTAGATGCTGGACGGGTAAATGCATAATGCTTTAGTTAAGAGCCACAGTACTTTTGCCTTGGCCAGGTCCCTAGGACAGCAGCAATTTTTACAACCACCCCTGCCCATGAACATACAGAATGAATAAGAAATTGGGAAGGGCACTTGTGTTGGAGCAACTTGTGATATATTTCCCAATGTCCCCAGTCATCTTCAGCAAGCAAGAAATAAAGGTCAAGGATGATCATGTCTCACATGCCATGCACATGACCCCTGACCTGTGGTTTCTTGCCCCAGAGCTTACTTTTGCTAATGATTGTATCAGTAGTCCAGTTGTTTTGTCATCCTTAATATAAACCTTTACTGTTTAAGATGATTGCCCTCTGCTGGCCTGATGTATACTGTCCTCAGAAACTGAAAATTATTGTGCATCTGCAATAATCGTATTAAAATATATTGTGCAGAAAATCTAATCAGATAATCCATCTTGAAAAACCAAATGGCTGATAGAATATCATATGAAAATGTACATGCTGGAAAGTATGAAAATGCGTTCTCCCAATCTCTGCTTATGGATCATATAGACAGATGTTGACATTTAACATTATAATCTATAGTGGAGCACACAGATGAAATCAGAAATATCTGACACCAAGTCATTGAATATTTAAGAAATATGCATATTTCCTGGCAAGATCCTGGGAGGAAATGTCATTTCTAAGCATGCTGTAGACTATATCTATACCTATATTTTGTTCATTTCTGTGCATTCCAGTTCAAGTCGTGTCATTAAGAAACCATGAAAATAAGAAAAATGGGATCAGGAAAAAATTTGATCTTTAGGGGAGGAATCTAGTTATCTTGATTTTTTTGTATTTAGTTTTTATAAGATCCACACTGATGCAGAAGGCATTTACTGCATGCATGMCACGATTATCTACCTTTGCCACATTTTAAAGAGGTAGATGCGGTGATTTTTTACATGAATGTGTATTACATGRATTCTGCATATAGCAATTGCTTTAATGAGCAAAGAAAAAACTTATGGGAGTATGATTTTGTAAATTATTCGCAAAGCATCTATTATTCATAATTCCAAACTTGACTCTGTCCATACATATATGCTTTTTTAAATTTAGTTTGAACAATTTGAAAGCACCATTGGGTTTAAGCTGCCAAACCATCGGGCTGCCAAGCGTTTGTGGAAAGTATGTGTTGAACACCATACATTTTTCAGGTAGGTAGAGATCATTTGGGACTTGGTTTTTGTTTTTTCCCTAAGGAAGAATTGAAATGACTCGATTGCTTATATTGAAAAGGTTTGGGGCAAGAAGGACAATCTAGAAACATCCTTTCTATTCCTTCAAGTTCATTTTCACCAGATATCTTGATAAGAAATCCTAAAAACACTTCTGAATAAATTTAAAGGATTTACTTCAATTTGTCTTGTACTTTACTTTTTTTTTTTTTTTTGGTCTTTTCATTATTTTTATAAAAGAGTGTCCTCTTCAAGTATCCAGTTCATTCCTATTTCAAAAATTTCTTGATACCCCCCTGGACTCCTTTATGCAAACATATACTCAGCCCATCAGATTCGTGCCTATAAAATAACAAATTATCATTCTTCTTCACTAAATCATCTATTTAATTGTTCCTTGGGTTTATGGAGCCATGGCTTCTCTAGATGTTCTAGACTCTCTAGTTTATGAGATAAAGGTTAATGTTCCTATAGTCCAGCCCAGCCCCSGTTTTACTTATGTCTTGTCTCCTGCATCCCTCATTAAAATATTATTGTATGACTTGATAGCTTTTCTAATAAAAATCAGATTCATTACCTACAAGCTTCGTGGTAAACCTTTAATATACTGTGAAAAGTTAAAAAAAAAAAAGCATTCTGAATATTTGACTTAAAGGTCTTTTCTGGTGGTTTTCTTTAATATCTTTAGACTGTTGTTACCAGAAGCACCTCCAAAGAAATTCCTAACCTTGGGTTCCAAGTTCCGGTACAGTGGCAGGACGCAAGCCCAGACGAGAAGAGCCAGTGCATTGATAGATCGCCCCGCGCCTTACTTTGAACGTTCATCCAGCAAACGTTACACCATGTCTCGCAGCTTGGATGGAGGTAGGTATTGCTCACTGGCTCTTAATAATTTCTAGTAACTCACCAGGAAAAGGAGTGTCATGAACGTGTAAATGTAGATCCTCTTGGATACTGTAAAAGGGAAAGCAGTGGTGGATCTGAACTAAGTGGGAGATTTTGAACATCCCCACCTCCAAAAATAATGCCTTTGTCAGTCTGTTTGTAAATGTGTATAAACTGAGATAAATTAGGCACTTTGAGAATGAGGAGCATAGCTTTCAAAAGCCAGTACCCCAAATTTGGAGAAAGATGGTCACATTCTAAATATAGGAGTCAAGGACTCCAAGTAATTCTGTTCTCATGCCAGCTGACCTGAAATGATTAGCAATTTTGTCTCAAGAATATTTGTTTCAGAAAGAAAACTGTAGGTTTAATTTATCTCTCTTACTTAAAAGGTTTATTTTTATTTTTATTTCATTTTAGGAAAAATGTGGCCTAGCGAGGAGAAAGGATGCTATGTAGATGCTCTCTGCTATTAAGTCAGATAAGTGAGTCAGATGATTAAGACAGGGACAGAGCCCAGTACCATAGCACATGCCTATAATCCCAGCAACTCAGGAGGCTGAGGCAGGAGAATTTCAGGTTTGAAGCCAGCCTCAGAAACTTAGCAATACCCTAAGCAAAAGAAAAACTAAGAAAGGGCTAGGGACGTGGCTCAGAGGTTAAACACCCCTGGGTTCAATCTCCAGCATGCCACCCCACCAAAAAGAAAATCAGGGACAGCGTCACTTAGATGACCTTCCTAAGGAATAACAAACAGAAATTATTAGTCTGTTTTTGTCTTGTCTATCAGTTGTGTATTGCTTCTGTAGTATGATGGCGGGGGCTTCTGCCACAAGGCATGCCAGCTACAGTGACACTTAGGACCTAAGTCATGCCCAAGCTTCCATCTTGTAGTTCAGAGAACCTGGAGATTAGTTGTTCTGTTGAAGACCCATTTTGTGCAAATGAAAAGCTTTAGGTTTCTGGCATGCACATATGATTTTAGTAAGTAACGAAAACATAAATAAAATAAATAAAAGTTACAGGAACCTAGAATCATCTCTGTTTTTGCATCTGCATCCCAAGGAATCTCATTTCTCCTGCCCCTGCCATCCCTAGTATAGTTGATGTGGACAACATATTATTTCCTGAATCCCCTGATTAAAAAGACGGTATTTTCCTGATTGCATAATTCAGAAAACTGTTTGTAGAAGAAATCACACTTGTATTGTTAGTGCCATATTTTGTATGTTACTGCTAAAATGAGAACAGCACTCATCTGGCAAGAAAAACTCAGAGTGAATCCAGACTCGGCTGTCCTCTGTCTGGGTAATGGCTGGCAAATGATTTCAGCTCTCCAGGTCTGAAGTAGTTTCCCAGAAAATGGGAATTAGGCCATCTTCACAGGGTTGTTGTGAAGATACATGGAGAACACAGTCTTTGTATAGAGATAAATTATTTCAATAATTATATTGATGACGATTCTTACATTTGTGAGCTGGCCCAAAAGTTAATTCCAATTGTCTCTTTGTATTTGTGGGTTCCAAATTCTGCAAATTTCTTTTTAGAAAAATCACAGCTACACTAAATATATACCGAYTTGGTTTTTGTCAGAATTCCCTGGATAACACARTGTGACAACTATTTCCATAGCATTTACAGTGTGTTACTTTATTATCTAGAGATGTAAAGGAGAATGTGCAATTATATGCAAATACAGCACCGCTTTATATAAGAGACTTGAACATCTTCGGATTTGATACCCACGGGGCTCCTGGAAGCAATCCCCCAGGGATACCAAGGGATAACTGTACCATTCTGTATCTTCTAAGATTTGCAGAATACTAAACCTAGAGCCAACCCTTTAGAATAAAACATGTACCAGAACTGTTTTAAGATATTGAATACCTGTGATGTAACACTGAARTTTTTCTTTTTCGCTTTGTCCCATTTACTCCTCTTTAGAGAATCTCTCTTCACTCTTTGTACATTCTCTGTGTCAGTACTGAGGAACTTTTGTAGAATCACACCGTTTTTTTTTTTCCCCACCATCTACTTTGTTCAGTGAAGTGCGCCCAAGGGAGCACATTTCTCGTGAATGTTGTTTTCCTCTTGACCTTTTGTGTGTGCTAATGACTTCGGAGAAGACGGAAGACAGTTRCGAAGTCAATGTACTAATATCATGCTGTCTCTTCCTCCCTGCCCAAAAGTGATGTTAGTATGTGTTGTCTCCCTCTTGGTGGTCCTGCCAGTTCTCRTATGTTTTCTACGCTGCTGAGCTGGGGGGCCGAGGCTGCATGTTGGAACATAAATTGCTTTTTTGCAAGGCGGCAGCATCTTGTAGAAAACAGCCTAACTGGTCTATTAAGAAACCGTGTCTCATACAAGCTTTCTCATCGATAGAAAGACAGATAAAATATCTTGGTGAAGATATTTTAGTAGTTTAGCTATCAAAAGGATCTCAGAAAGGATTTCGTTTCATAATCCTTTCTCTATRTTTTAAAGCTCCTAAAAGATGAAGGGAGATTATATTTTGTCTGTGATCAACTGCTGTGTATTTGAAAAGCAGCGTTTATTTTTCATGATATCAAATTTTTATAATCTAAAATAATGAATACCAAATAATTTGGACATCGAACTGAATTTTAGCATCTCTTTCACTGAGACATTTTAGCTGGTATGAAGGGCTGTGTCTTATATCTCTTATGTTTGCATGCTTTGCATTTGCATGAATTTCATTTAGCAGCATTTGTCTTGTTTTCTCAAAATATTAGAGATGGGAATGAGTATATATGCATCTCATCATGGCAGACTGTTTAAARTGCAGTGGATATTAAAGCATTTCTCTACTTCACTTGAATGGAATTACCATCAGAATTTTATAATCTGTGCCACAACATGGTTAATTTTCATTATTACCTTTGGGACTTTAATATTGTAGGAGTGTTCAGGGATTTTTTTAGTATTCCATAATAATAATAAAACCAATTCAGTGCTCTTCGGTAAATGTTACTTCCAAAAATGTGTTCAAAGTCAAGTGTATTAGAGTATTATCCACTGCTTTGAGTTCTCGAACTTGCCACTCAGTGCCTGGTGCTGGTGCCCAGCCAGCTGGTGCTCAGGTTCAAGGGAAGCCCAGTTTCACCTCCTTCCACTCTCCTCCACCCTCACACACACCCTCACCAGAGAGCATGAGAATGGGTGGGCATTATTCTGGACTTCAAGACGTGAGCATTTAAGTAATTTTAAACTACACGGTCTAGGTGGAACAGAAAGTCTATGATACCCTTAGATTCTTTTCATGTCAAAGCTGGTATTTTGTAGTGGTATTTTCTTTCCCAGTAACGGGACAGCGGTGTTTTTGATTTCTCTTCTACTTAACAATTTCAGATCTTATTTCTCCAATTGTATTTGCTTTTAGCGTCAGTGAATGAAAACCATGAAATATACATGAAGGATTCTATGTCTGCTGCAGAGGTTGGTACTGGCCAGTACGCCACAACAAAGGGCATCTCTCAGACCAACTTGATCACCACTGTGACTCCGGAGAAAAAGGCTGAGGAGGAGCGGGACGAGGAAGAGGAGAGACGGAAAAAGGCTGAGGAAGCCACGCCGGTCTCAGCCATCCGGCATGAGGGAAAGGTACAGCTCCCAGGCTGCCTCATATTGAGCTTGCTCCAGCTTAACAAAGGCTCAGTAATGCTGAGGATGGAACCAGAAATATGACTAGCATAGGATAGTTCATAACTCAGTGTTAGTTACAGTCATATGTCAGTTTTAAAATTACTATTCCTATTTTGACATTTTTTTTTTTTACTCTGAAAGTTGCTTCCTTAATTTTTTGAATTTTTTTACTTTAGTGAGGAATGTGCTACATAAGACTTTCAACAGCTGTCCTGTCTGTGTCTCTTAAAAATTCTCTGGGTGGTAGAAGACGCCTTTCTGTTCTGGCTCTCATTTCAGAACTGTCACTAAAGCTATTTTCTTTGTTTCTGGCCCCATTCTCCTACCCAAGCATGATATATTTTTCTAGATACACAATAATCACATCGCCATTCTTCTAACCACAAGTATCACAGGCCTGTGTGTTTATAATTCATCTTCCTTAGTCTTATAATTGTGATCTAATCAGGAAAGGAGTTAGTTAGTTAGTAGCTATATTTTAAAATRGGATGTGGAGGTACAAGTTTGCACCAGAAGTTGAGAAGTGGACTTATTGGTGTTTTCTCAAGGTGATTTCATGAAATCATGTCCCCACCCCCGCCACCAAATTAAATTTCTTCTTAAACATGGTTTTWAAATATCAGGCTTATTTCTGGTGACCCAGCACTGTAAAGCAACTTTTTAAGAAAACAGTTTTGTCGTCAACACATTGGAAAGTTTATGCATAATAATCATGGAAAAGCAGAGCAGCTATTGGAACATATAAGGTAAATAGAGGAAATAGGGGAAGAAAAATGCTCATGTCATCTATGGGTTATCCTGAAATATGAGTTTGCTCTACTTACAAGTGCTCCCTTAAGTGGGCTTTTCAAATACAGATGGATGTGATAGAAAATCACCAATTTCTACTCCTTGGAAAAATATTTTTTTCCATAATGATTTTAACAACAGCATCTTAAGGGGGTAGGTCAACAAATAATTTTTGTGGTCAGAATATTCCAAGTGACCCAATCCATCATTTTTAAATTTTGCTCTTTTAGATTAAGTTTCCCTAATTTGCCAAACCAAAAAAAAAAAAAAAAGTGCAGGGATATTTGGATCACTTTTGTTGCTTTGTTCTAAATTTCATTTTCACATTCTTTCTGTCAGTTGAGTCAAGGGCTGGTTTTAACTGGGACATGAAATGAAGATAATATACCTGAAAGGCGAAGGTGTCCTTCTTACCTTAGTTATTAYAAAATTTCTTAAGATTGCTCATGCCAACAAATGATCCCCATGGATGTGTGAGTGGAATTAAGTGGCACACAGAGGTAAATTATTTTTAATTTACTCCCCAAATAGGTGCAGCCAGTCTCACTTTATTCAATTTTAAAAGATTACCAATTCATTTATGTAACATGTAGCACTGAGCTATCCTCACCTTGTGCCATTTATGCCATGGGAAAATAAAAAGAAAGAAAATGACTCCCCTCATTGTCTGATCTCAGCAGAGCCAGTGCTTGGAGCAGGGTGCCTTCAGGAGGCTGCATAGTTGCCAGCTGTCTTTAATTCCCCCAAATCTTTAAAAAGACAAAGCTGTCTTAAAAACCACATTCATAAGCAGAATGGAAGATTAACCCTTAATTTTATTATTTTCTTCCTCCAAACAGTAACATAGAGGTACTACTTTTTTAAACCAAAATGAAAACATATTATTGCAAAGAATTCTTAAAAGACCAGTCCCCCAGAATTGGCCTGGGAAGGAAGCTGGTTTCCCCGAGGTCAGAGGGCCAGTCTCACCACCAGAGGACAGTTGTCTTCAAGGTGACTTTTTCTATGTTCGTCTTAGAGATTTTCACAGGTTCCTATTTAAAATGCAGTGTTAAATGTCAAATGGGAGTGTGTGGGAAGACACACTCCTGTCATGGTCCAACTGAGACACTTCTTCTGCAGATATATTCAAGAGATACTTTTTTCTTTGTGCATTTTCTTTCCCTCATGCCTCAGATGTAATTTTAATTGTACATTTTCTTTCCCTCTGTTGCTGTGTTTACCACTTCTCTGTAAGTCAGGATTGGATAACCATCACCAGGCAGTCAAGGCTGGGTAATTTCCATGCTCTCAGGTCACTAGGCAGAATACACACACACACACACACACACACACACACACACACACACAGCAACAGAAGTCTAATTATCTTCAGGCTCCATGTGCCCTGGCCTTGAACTTACCAGGCTATAGCAGCTCCTATGCTCTGCTCAGAGTCTCTGCTTGCTTCCTTTCTTCCCTTTCTTGCCCAACAGCCCCTCCACCACCTGCATAAGAAACTAGCTTTGGGCATTGAAACCACCAGGGCCCCAGAGAATGGAACTAGGTTCACTTGTCCCATGAAAGCAAGAGCTCATCAGGGGGCCACTTTTGTGCAGATGCCTGCTTTAGCATTGTATTAAGGACTCAAACCAAAGGTATAAACATGCCCTTTATCTACTAAACGAAATCAGGAGGCTGGGAAATTGTATCTTTCTATTATTTATGGCCCACAAATAATAGAAACCAACACATAGAAAGTGTATTACAAGGAAACACATTATTTTAGCTGGTTAGCTTATTGAAACGACTTTGAGTGTGAGTTCCACTTATACCCTGCATAAAGGAGCCAAAATAGAAGACTTTTCAGAGCAACCTCAGTCCTTTGTTGGGGAGTCAGTTTCTGAAATGCTAGTTGTTGAATCCTCCCCCCATTATCAGATAGGAGTGGGGCCAGAAACTTCTAGATTTGCAAACCCACCTATTTGGGATATAGTTGACTAACCAAGGAAAGGAATAATGCTAGAAGAAAATTTTTTAAAATAATTGCAATTGGAATTGAATTTTGTTTTCATTTTTTAATCCAGCTAAACCATTGTAACAAATCTATTACCTGGAGATCAGGAGAAGGTTATTGAAAGTCTTGATTTTGATTTATTGGAGAGTTATATTTGCTCTCAGAACCCTCAACCTTCCTAGAGTTGTCAGTGTACTATGAAATTTTTTGATCATGGGAAACATGTAGACATTGGGATTCCACCCTGTTATATGATGGTCTGATGGGAGAACTGTAGCCGTCTGCAGCAATGGTTGGCATGCAGCTTAACGACTTAAAAATTCCCAAGCAACCCTACTGCTAAAATTCTTGTTTTACGATTTTATATTGATGCCCATAAGAAAATTAACTAATTGCAGTTTTCTTTTTGTCCTTTTGCACCTCTGTTTGCTGCTTCCTGTCTCTCTCTGTCTCTTTCACATCAGTCACCTGAGCTTGGCACTGACTCATGTCCCTTGTCACCCCCATCAGCCCATTCTGACCCCACATCCCCCACTGAGCTCCGTAGGAGGTGTAAGGAGAACGAATGCAGAGCTCCAGGTTCCACCCCGCCCAGAGCCCAGCATTTGCAGGGAGAGCTGGCCCTGGACTCTGACGGCCAAGGGAAGGSTTACGTAGGGGATCAGGATGTGGCATTTAGCTACAGACAGCAAACTAGCAAAGGAGCCACTTTGTTTTCCTTCTCCTTACAGCTCCCTGAGTCCTTCCCCTCCCTCCTAGATGATGATGGGTACCTCTCTTTCCCCAACCTGTCTGAAACCAACTTCCTGCCCCAGAGCCTGCAGCATTATCTCCCGATCCGCTCACCCTCCCTCGTGCCCTGTTTCCTCTTCATCTTTTTCTTTCTGCTCTCCGCCTCTTTCTCAGTGCCATATGCCCTCACTCTCTCTTTCCCTCTGGCTCTGTGCCTCTGCTACCTGGAGCCCAAGGCGGCCTCCTTGAGCGCCTCCCTAGACAATGACCCGAGTGACAGTTCAGAGGAAGAGGTGTGTACCTCGGCATAGAACACACTTCCCCTGCGTGTTCCGTGCTTCGGTCCGAAACAAGTGTTAGCCGGCTGCTGCGATAGTGGTCCTACTTTCAGAGCCTCATTTATTGTCTGTGCCAATTATGTTGAGGTTTTGTGTGTTGGGGAGTCCAACCCAGGCCCCAGGGTTAGGCACAACACCATGTGGATGCAGCAGTCTGAGTGCAATCCTGAATTCTCTGCTACCCACTGAGTCCTAGGTGGGGTAAAGGACTCAGCCAGAAGTCAATTTCAAATAGCCCATTAGTTATGTAAAAGATCAGGGCTAAGTTAAAGTTTCTGATCGGTTATCATCTTACAAAACAAATCACATATAAGACAGATAAGTAGCTTCCTGCTTAAAATGAGATTCAAGGAGAGATGGAGAGAGCACTGCCAGAGGGGCCATGTCACAATCTCCTGGGTAACTTTCCAAATATGCAAACCAGTCTCCTGGAGATTCTGAAATGCCCCCCCCACTACTCTCCTTGATTACACTTATCTTTATTACTTGAGTAGATCAGGTCCCATCATGCATTGGGTCAGAAAGGATGTCAACCACAGTTTGGAACAGCCACCTGTCATTCGTCATTGAAAGGACCAGAAACAGGACCAGGAAGACCTGCATGCAGTACAGCAGTGTCCAAATACAGTCAGGGAAGGATTTATTTAAGTTTTCTTTACATTATAAAACCAGGCTGAAATTTTGTCTGCGTTAGCAATGCCGGTGCATAAATCAGAYAGCAGTGATTCTTCCAATTCCACAGGAGACAAAATCTCCCTATAAGTTGACAAGAGGGTCAAATCAAGAAAGCTGGTGAGGTGTCTCTGGCCCTAAACCAGGTATTGCATAGTGGAGGAAAGAATCTGTCAGCATGTGGGTCTCCCTTCCTCATCTCAGCAACTGGGCGAGTTGAGGGTACAGCCCTCAGCAGCTTTTGCTCCTAATTGCTCCCRTTTCCCACCTCTCCACAGCCCTGTGAACAGCACAGCAGCTTCCCTTTCTCCACACTTCAAACAGAGCGTAGGGAAAAGAATAGAAGCAGCCGCCAGAGGAACTGGCTGTCACATCCCCTCCCGCCTGAGCCTCTCCCAGGCTGCCTCCAGTTCTCCTGTTTCCACAGAACAAGGGCTTCTGAGACAGGAGACACATGTGCTCCTAGCATTTAAAAAGTATACATCACAAAGTCAAGGCAACACACACACACACACACAAAGAGACTATTCAGATTCATGCTCAGCTAGAAAGTCATAATTTGAGGTGCACCTGTGAGTATTTTAGTATTGTGAAGGGGTGTGAGTACCTGTATTTAGTGATATCATAGCCATTTCTGTACAGCAAATGGAAAAAAAAAATGAATGATCTTACAGGTGCTGTAAATGGAAGTCTAGTTTTTTTTTTTTTTTAATTTGATATTGCATGAGAGTCTTTTTCAAAATTCTTGGGCTATGAGACTATTAGCTCCAGCTGTCTCTCCCCTATCCCTTTCACCCTCTCTTTCACACACATACATGCACACACACACACACATATGTATCTTTTTGTACTTGAAAAACAGAACTGTTTTAAGTCCAAGGCTTTATTATTACTATTTCTCACAGTAGCAATATTATCAAATAGCATAGAACACTTGACAATTAAGAAGACAATATTATCTGTAAAGTTTGTGTATAATATTAGCATATTTCCAACCTTCAGATATGTTTTTCCTTTAGCAGTGAGTTAGTCCTGAGTCTAAAATAAAGCCAAAAAAAAAAAAAAAGAAAGAAAGAAAGAAAAGATTTCTATTTTATGCTTTTCTAAATTCTAAAGAACTGAACATTTCCATAGCCAGCCACACAGATCTTGTGCCTAATCCAGGGTATACATCTTGTTGTAATCGGTGCATGAGAGTTAATGTAAACTTGGGCATGTCTGCATTACATCAGCAAAACAAATCACAGCAGTTCATTGTTGCAAGCCAGTGAACTCAGGATGGGAGCTTCCCAGGCCTGGCTGTCCTTGTTATTGCAAACCTCTGAAACYGTAAAATAGCACTGACCACTGCAGTCCTTGCCACCCCCTTCCCCACACTTAGCCTACTACAGCTCTTCTGCCACCAGACTTAGTATTTCACCATCTGTTCAGTGTCGACTCTTAACCCCAGGTGCAAAGAGCTGTGCATACTAGTTCCACTTGAGCAAAAGAAGTCATATTTAGGTCATTCGGTTTAAAAAAAAAATGCAGTTTGCTTACATGGCCCATTTTATTCCCTGGGCCTCAAGCTCTTTGGCAGCTTAAACTGGGTGACTTCCCATATAATTCATCTGTCACGTTCCTTTTACAAAATCACTAATGACAGTAGTTCTTTTTACATCTCTCATATGTTACAGTGGCTAAATCATAGTGCCAGCCTTTCTCAAAAGTGAACCCCAGTATAGAAAGGATTAATCATTTCAAACAGAAAAAGTGGTTGGCCAATCATTTCTTTTCTTCTATACTTTCAGAATGATCAAATAAGAAGGACAGAATATCAAATCATCTGTCAAGAATCATAAGATAAATTTAGCTCATCATAACATGTAATTGTGAATTTCTGAGTAATTTTTTTTATAATACAAAACAAAGAAGTTCAAATTTGGAGAAAAGGATTAATCCCCTCATTTATGCATTCTAGTTTGTGGGAAACAGTATTATTGTATGGTAACAGATGGCATGCTGCACCTTTTCTAGTTTTGTGTAGTCATAATATATGAACAGCAGTTGCTTAAAAAACTGCTATATTCAGTTTTTCTTACTTCATTGACTGTTGATCAGATACTATGTTAGTTTACTAACTAGAAACTAAGTAGGAATTTGAGGGAGTTTATAGCTTTGGGGTTTTGTTTTGTTTTATTTTGTTTGAGAATGGGGGTCTTGCTATGTTGCCCAGGCTGGCCTCAAACTTGTGATCCTACCTGCCTCAGTTCTTTCCAAGTATCTGGGATTATAGGCAGGTGCCACTACACCCCTTTTAAGGCAGTTTAGATATGGCTAAAGATATTTGATTATGTTTGCCAAGGAAACTTAATAATTATATAATAGGTTAATATCCATATATCATTATAGGCAATTTTTAGCTCTATCCATGTTAGGCATCTTATAAAGCACTTAGTATCCACTATCCAATATAATTTGTCATGTTATTTCCCCTGTTTTCCAAGAAGTAAACTGGGATAAAATATGAAATACACCCAGTGTGTCGCTGGTTTGAACAGCAAGGATTTGAGCAAATTGTTCTGACATCTGACCCCTCACTTGAATCTACAACTGAACTCTAGTGCCAAGATGTTGGAAAGTTACTGAATTAAATTTTAAAACCACATGGGAAATGATCTATGTAGGAATACAAATATCTCAAAGAACTTGAGAAGTGTTGACACAACTAATTAGGACATTAAGCATAATTATTTCATGAAAGCCTAAGATCTTTGAGTTATTCTGTCCATTTCAACAGTAGCCTGTCTTTTTCATTCAAATTGATCTTTCCTTGGGCTGTCAGTTTGTAAAGCCATAGTAATACCATAACAATCACCCTATAAAAAAATTCACAGCCCCTCTGCCCCAATTGTTAACCAAGGTGGTCAGATCATGAAAATATATCAGCCAGGCTTTCTTCTCTGAAAGAAATCTACTGAAAATTATTTTCTACTTGGGTTTAGTCAGATGACAGCCTCAGGYCCATACGCCAACATTGCATTCTGACTCCTTCTCTTTAGAAATTCACAAAAATGAAAGTCTAGGGACAGTGCCAAAAAGTCAGACTGGCCATAAGTCCATAGAGATAACAATGTCCCAGTTATCACTTCCTGGTTTTTTTGTTTTGTTTTGTTTTTCAAAGGAAGGGATATTTTAAGAGAGATTCAAAACTATAGAGCCCCCAGTTCCAATTTTTATTTTCAAAACACCAGTCCAAAAATTTGATCAAGGGAATGTTATGAATAATTAGTTGACATTGAAGAGGGTAAGTCCATTAATAGGGTGTTTAGATTATGTCTTCATTTCAATSCTCATTGCTCTACTTTACTCCAGAGAAAATACTGTTTTCAGTTATAACCCCCTATGAAACACATTGAAAACCTGTCCTGAAATTATTATTTTAATTGTCCCCTAAAATCCTAGGCTCTGTCAAATGCTGTGCTTTGTTTTATTTGTTTCCAAGTAGATGTCTCTCTCTCTCTCTCTCTCTCTCTCTCTCTCTCCTTATTTTTAAATGATTTTTACTATTATTTGCATCATTTGAATGGTATTTTTTGCAATGAGATATTTAAATACATATTTTGATATACCTCTATATCAGAGGGTGGGATAAAATAAACAACATGTAGTCTTAAAAAGTACCTATTAACAATGCTACTTGAAAATTGAGTTACATTTTTCATCTATAAAACATATGCCTGTGAGTCACTGGCATGTGCTTTTTATAAATTCATAAGTAATRCAGACAGCCTGATGTTGGTAAATGGGCATAAATTACCCAAAGCGTATAAATGAGGGGCTGAAAGTCCAGTGACTGTTAACAGTAGCTTTTATGTAAATTTGTATTTTCACTTACCTTTCAAATGTGATATTGCTAGAATGAATGAATAAATAGATAGATAGAAAATACATAAACCTCTTTAATTTGCATTAAGCATTTTTAGGAGGGCTTTTTCGGGATGTTAGCGGAGAGGGTGGGAGGAAAGTAACAAATTGGTTTTCGTGACACGTAGCACCAGACAGGTCAGTGTGGCCCACGCAGTCGCTGCAGTTCCTGCGGGCTGTGCGTGCCTCGGGTCTTCCTCCAAGGGGGCTCTGTTGACAACACCTAGCTCTGGCTCTTCTTTTGCTTTGGCTTGAAGCTGCATTCTTGTGGGAAGGTAGTATGCCACAGATCCCAGAGAAAGGAAATGAGCGGTTCGACTTATAGGTAACCCCACTTGACCAGATGGGTTTGTTTTCTATCCCTGCCTCCTTCCTGGAACCTGATCACCTCTGCGCTCAATAGACTGACAGTGAGCGAACGGACACCGCCGCGGATGGAGAAACCACCGCCACCGAGGTTGGTGTTCCACTGAGTCTGGCTGGGAGCTGCCTCAGGAAAATGGCCCAGAGGGTGGGGGGAGCCCTCTGCAAGTAAGAATGCTGCGTATTAGCTTTGGAGTAGGGATCAATTTATAAATTCTAACTTCCAAAGTAGGAGTTAGATCCATTTTTAATTGCACAGGTCAGTGGATCTCAAACTGGCTTGTGCAGGAATTACTCCTAGGGCCACAATCTCACATGTTTTTCCCTTCGGAAGGACTGAGATGGGACTAAAGAATTTATGTTTCTAACAAGTTCCCAGAGGAGGTTGACTATTAATTCTARGATCATATTTGGAGAACTACTTTCCTAAACTGATAATACCTTGAAAAAGAAGGGTGGGGGTGGGGAATGCAGCTAGGCATGGTGGTGCTTGCCTGTAATCCCAGCTGCTTCTGAGGCTGAGACAAGAAGAGAGTTCAAAGCCAGCCTTAGCAATTAAGCAAGGCCCTAAGCAACTCAGTGAGACCCTGTCTTAAAAAAAAATGTGTGTGTGTGTGTGTGTGTGTGTGTATGTACATGCACATGCATGCCCCAAAAAGAGCTGGGGAGATGTGGCTCAGTGAAGCATTTAGCTCTTGGGTTCCATTCCCTGTACCAAAAAAAAAGGAGAATTTTTTTTCTCCTATGTCAAATGAGAGGCTCTTTTTGTATGATACCCTTGATTTGTGAGACAAATCACAATTAATTTAATTAGCTTGCTGGCTGGATAGATATATAGTTTAAAATCCCAAATAGTAAAATAATATTTGTTAAAAAACGTACTTAATTTGTTTTTTGTAGCCTTTGGCTATACTACAGGTGAGTCATAAGGAATGAATTCTCGAAAGAAGAGAAAATTGTYGATAGACATACTTTATTGAAAAAAAAATGTAATCACATTTAACAGGAGAGAAACAGTGCTATTGATTCTCTTTTGTTAATTCTTTAGAATACCTTATATTGTGTGTATGGATTTTTGTCATTTTTAAAACATGCACTATCAGTAACTGATTCAAATTTCTGTAAAAAAACAGTATTTATCTTTAGTAATGGAAGTTAAGATGTTTATTTTCCAGAGTGCTAGAGAATTCAGTTTTTACTTTGCAATAAATTTTACTTGGGGTCTTATTTTATTTTTTACATCATCCAATCATAAGCATATTTTCTAGTTGGCTATTTAGGAAGAAATGAAAGTACTGTTATGTTGTATCTGTACATCATTTAATCTCAGAAAAAAAATATTTCATAATGGTATATTATTAAGTTTCTTCTTTTGGAAATGCCATATTTTAAAGAATTACTATTTTTTAAAGTAAAAGGTAATAGTGTAAAGCTATTATCCAGTTTCTTTTAAGCAATTGTAAATACATTTATTAAAAGCTAATAATTTTCTATGCCAAATATAAAAAAACTATACCTTGATTTTGTAAGAGTTAGTGACATAGGCTCATAAATTCAATGAATGTCTCCATCCTCCTGAATGCTGTAAATGAAAAACATTTAATAATAATACTTTAAATTTMTATAGCAGTTTTAAAACTCATTACAGAACACTTAAAGCACGGAAGCAAATACATTGAACAGTAGCTTGTGAAGAGCTGTGAACACACCACACCCTTGAGCGTCAGGATGTCACCAGCACTGTTAGTTTCTAGTAGCTCCTTTCCATCTTTCCCTTCCCTTTATATGGCCAATGCATGGGGTCTACAGAGTAGGTACTCGACCCCACTGTCAGATAAGGAAACTGAGACCCTTGTAATTGAAATTATATGCTTAAGGCCACTTGCTTGAGAGTAACCCTTGTTTTACCTGTCATTTCACTGTGCATGTCTACTTGGAGCACAGTGGCCCAAAGCCCAGGCTCTGGTTCAGAAAGCCCTGTGAGAAGCACAGCTTTACCATGCAACCTGTGGCTTGGCACACTTACCTAATTATGGTACTCACATGTCCAAGTTGTAGGCAGGTTGTTGAAATTAGACAAAGAAGGATAATATAGTAGCTTGGGGTATTTTCTAAAAATATTTTAGTACTTTTTTAACTCAAAAGTTGTCCTTATCTTAAAGGAATGATGCTGCTATTGATGACAGTCATTCCTTTTTCTTTTTTAAATTTTTTCTTTCTTAGAAAATCAAGGTTCTTAGGGCTGGGGTTGTGGCTTAGAAGTAGAGCACTCACTTAGCACATGCAAGGCCCTGGGTTCGATCCTTAGCACCACATAAAAATAAATCAATAAAGATATTGAGACCAACTACAACTAAAAATATGAAAAAGAAAATCAAGGTTCTTATAAGTTTTAAAATATAAGAATCTCTGTGTTTAATTCTTCCATCCTCAGTTCTTTGATCCACAAATTGGGGGTTGTGTAGCTAACCTCATAGGACTCTTGTGAAGACTCATCCATTGTAAGGTAGCTATCAATACCGTGTAGCCATATCCCTTCTTAGGAATTGTAATCTGGTTCCCCAGATCTCCTGAACCATTGGTGATGGTCATTAAGAACAGCCTACCAAGCCCTTGCTGCCACCTTCCCAACCAYGTACATCTGCTCATCAAAGCACCAAAGACCCAATGGGCAAGAAATCTTTTCCTTCTCAGTGCTTGTTAAGCTTCATAATTTGTGAGAGTGTTGTGGCTTGTGTATAAGAAAGAACTGCATCATTACACAAGTGCAAACCAGTGCCCACACTTAGCAAGTTTATATAGGCTTTTGAGTTCTCTAATCTCAGAGTAAATTGCATGGTAAGACTTTATTTCCCACTCTTTCTTGATGCTGGCAGTCGGACCAGGAGGAAGATGCAGAGCTCAAGGCACAGGTAGAAAATTAAAAGTAAAACACATACCAGTGCGTGATAAGTCATGGTCTGTGTACAGTGTTCAGATCTCAGCATGCTCTGTAGCTGTTACCATGTCGATGGTGCAGTGCGCAGGATGGAGTTTGTTCCCTTGACTACGGTGTCCCTTACCTTTCCCTTTCTTCTCCACTTTTTTCAGAATAGTCTGATTAAGCGAATAAAGGGTGAAAATGTGTATGTCAAACATAGTAATCTTATGTTAGAGGTTGGTATTGGTATATACCAGTGCATGTTTGTGCGTGTTGTTTCCCCCCMCGTAGTGGCTTACCTGTGGGCTCGTACCATGATGCATGAACTGTGTGCTCACCTGTTAATAAGTGGGGATGACTTCTCAGCCTACTCTGATTCCTTATCCTCTCCTAGATGTAGATCCCTTTTTCTTCTGTGTGTACTTAATTTAGTTCTCTTTGGTCACATGTGCATTACATTCCTTACAGTTTTTACCTTTCAAATTCTTTTGGTTTTTTTATGCTTGTGTGAATTTGATTTCTTTTCTTTCTCTTTTCTCTAGAAAATATCACATTTTCACCAGAGCGTRTGTGTGTGGTAGTGTCATGAACCCTCTTCAAAATTGTTTTCTTTTGACTAATCTAATGAGATTGACTTGACTTTTTTTTTTTAAGTTGAAAGCCAACATGAAAGGCTGACTATTGGATTCTTTATGTTCCGAATGTAGGAGCTAGATAAAACTCAAGATGAACTGATGAAACATCAGACCAACATTAGTGAGCTGAAAAGAACCTTCTTAGAAACCTCAACAGACACTGCCGTCACGAATGAGTGGGAAAAGAGGCTTTCTACCTCCCCGGTGCGACTGGCTGCCAGGCAGGAGGATGCACCCATGATCGAGCCACTGGTACCCGAAGAGGTCAGTGTTCAAGCTTTGGGCTGRAATTGTCTTCTGTTCACTGGTTTCACTTCTCTATAGGATCTGAAACTGGGAAAAGGATTTGACAAACTTCTGAGTAGAGAACCTTCCCTCTTTTCTATACATATCCTGAATTGAGATGCTGTGTGCTCCAGAGGAAAGCTGCAAATAAAATGAATAGGTGGCCAAAAAGCATGGTTTCAGGTGGTGCTGGCAATGAGCAGAAAGCCACAGGGAGACTGTAGTGCCAGTTGGCTAATTCTGACCAAAAAACCTGTATTTTACAGCAGAGAAATTAAGATACTATCATAGTGAACAGGTACTTTTTGTAAATGTGCTTCCTCCGCCGTCTCCACTGATGAATGACCTGAAAACCCATGTATGTTTCTCATCAGTTGCAAGGTGGGACCTACTGAGATTGTCTGCTGTTTGAGTGATCAGAAGTTGTTAGCATTTCAGTACACATTATTTGATTTTTCTGATAACTGATTATTTTAACTGATTTGTAATTGGTTTTTATTTGACTTTTTTGAATGGGGAAATTACAGGACAAATTTCCTTTTTTTTTTTTTTTTTCTTTTTGGTACTGGGGATTGAACTGGGCACTCAGTCAACCACTGGGGCACATCCCCATCTCTTTTTTGTATTTTATTTAGAGACTGGGTCTCACTGAGTTGCATAGTGCCTCACCATTACCAAGGCTGGCTTTGAACTGGCAATCCTCCTGCCTCAGCCTCCCAAGCCACTGGTATTACAGGCATGTGCCACCACACCCAGCTGACAAATTTCTTTTCAACCATATCTAGTGAAAATGGAAGCTTTTTAGGGAAAAAGAGAAAGGAAAAAAAAATATCCAGTTCATACAAGCATGAAATTCCAAAGAATATTATAAAGGTAAACTGTAAGGAATGTAATCTTCATGTGACCAAAGAGAGTAAAATAAATACATAGGAAAAGGGCTCTCCATCTAGGAGAGGGTAAGGAATCAGAGTAGGCAGAGAAGTCATCCCCTCTTTCTAGCATACAGTGCTCACATTTTGGTGGTACTTAAGTAAAGCTTTTCCATATAGGAAAGCTCTCTTTCAATATACAGCCAGAGTAAGGGTACAGGCTGCTGTTATTTCAGGGCTCCCATTGTGTGGGACCCACGGATTACTGTCTACTGTTAGATATCATTTTTGCTTTATCTCTCTTCCAAAACAAGCAGGTTTAGAAAACTGCATATTTTGGGCATTGTTTTGGTTAATCTCCTTCTTAACCAAGACCCCTTTATTGTGAACTGTTTGTCCAGGAAGCTGACACAGAACAGAAAATTAGAACTTATGCCTTTATGTGTGAAAAAGCCTTTAAACAGTGATCTGTAGGCCACATTCAGGTCCTTGCAGTGAAATTAAGAATCGAATTACGCTCATTGTTGATCGTTTTCTAAACCGCCTTTGAAAACTTTTTATCAAAGTGACCAAGATCTCACTATTGCTGTATTCAATACCAGCTAAAAAGTGCCCATGGGAATTACTTTGTAAAGGGCCTTTTATGCAGAATAAATGAAAAGTACCTTTACCCAAGGTATGCCTGTACCACAAAACACCACTGCCATTCAGAGGACTTGAGTTTCAAGAGACAAAATTTTCTCATTCCACGTTTGATTTAAATATTATAGTTCTTGCCTTATTAAGAAGACCACTTGTCAGTTATGCTGTCATAAATTTTATTTTAATTGTTCAAGTTTAGCCTCACCCTATTTTTTGCTATTTCTTTTAGAATAATGTGCTAGCCCTAAAGATGTCAGACAACTGGACTAAGTTACAAACATACATAATGAGTAGCTACCCAAAGCATAACAGACAAGAGGAGCCAAATGTCTCTTCCCATTGCTAATACTTAAGAAGATGTCAGATGGTAGCCACTTTGAATGTTTTAGGTTTTAGCTTATTAGAGAAGTTAAAGGGTGGTGATAAAAACAAGGGGGACTTTTAAAAAATCAAAGCCATTAGAATGGTAAAATATCTATTTTTTACTTCTGATTTAATCCTGATTCTTAGAAAAATGATGTTGGATAAACCCCAAAATATTATAATTTAAGGAGGTGATATTTTGACTATAATGAACTTTCCATGGATGTTGGTACCTTTTCTGTGCTTCTCTGTCCACACATGTTTCCACAATGGCCTTTTATAATGCACATAGGCCTAGCCCATGTTAGGGATATATACCTTAGTGGTTACTTGAATACCCAAAGTTTTCAAATCCCAGCCCCAAATCAGTATCCATCAGCACCTATGCAGCACCAGTATTGTCCCCTGTTTCATGGGAGTGGTAGATTAACAGGTGTGTTCACTATGTAACTCCTTGAGCTTGATGCTTAGCACAGTTGATTCTCATTATCCACAGATTCTGAATTTGCAAATTCACTTGCTCCCTAAATATATATTTGGTAACAGGGATTGAACCCAGAGCTATTCAAACACTGAGCCACATCCCCAGCCCATTTTTTTCTTTTGAGACAGAATCTTGCTAAGCTGCTTCAAGCCTCTCTAAGTAGCTGAGGCTGGCTTTGAACTCATGATCCTCCTCCCTCAGCCTCCTGAGCTGCTGGGATTACAGGCATGCACTACTGTGCCCAGCTCCCTAAAATTTATTTGTAGAGACCCTTAATCACCCAAGAGTGAATGACAGTTTTATAAAGGTGTACCAGAAATAGGACCTTGTTTCCCAAGTATAATACAGAGATGAATGTTTAAGAAACTAATGTTATAACAGTTGGAATATACTATCTGATTATTTTCTGAACTCTAATGTTAAGTCCTCTTTTAGATTAGCAGCTTCTCTTTATCAGCACTTCAATTAGTAGTAACTACTTCTCTAGTAGCTGAAGTAGTTGGGTTGGAAAGTTGGCCATGTTTAAAAGTTAAATCTCAGATCTATATCCCTTTTTGTGGTATACTGTTTCTGTTATGGACATACACAGTTCTGCACGTAGCCCGTGCTGACATTTCCAATGATCAGACACACAGACATTTTAAAAATTAGTTTGTTTCAGACAACAGAGTATACTGAAAACCACTTTAGCCACTGGGCATTTTAAAAAAAAAAAAAAAAGCTTTTTTATCTTGGGAATAATATGAGGAATAATATGTAGTTCAGTTATTATAATTAGAAGCCCAGAAATGGTATTCTAAAAAGTACCAGTAATTTTGACCTTTCCTTCATGTTTCTCATTTCTATTTGAAAAAGAGGCTATGATTGAAAGTTTTAAAAGGAAGGAAGAAAGCATCATATGATCTACATGTCATGATGCCATATAGCACATTTTATGTTTTCCAATGCCTTCCTTCAAAATTGCAGCAGGACAGGATTCTTTTTTCTCCTTCGAATAATATTTTTAATCTCTCATTAGGAAGGTCACATGAGTTATGGCACTGTCAAAATCTCAGTAGCTCCTGTAGGAAGTAAGTGCCAGATGTTCCACTACAACCTCTTGCAGGCAAACCATTCGATGTAGTACTTATCAATACATTAGTAGGTAAACAGGAACTTTAAGCAGTTTCCTAAAATTATATCATTTATAATGATAAGATTCATTGAAAGAGTTCCATTGTTCTAGAAACTTTGAACGTCCTATGATTTGTTTTTAGACTAATTTTCCAAAATATCCTTCAGTTCCTACTCTGTAGAGCTGCACTGTGTGCAAAGATAGGCTTGGTAGCTACTGTATTGCCACTTGAATTAATGAAAAAAATAAAGTAGTTTAAGAAGTAAAAAGCTAGTGCCTGACATGAAATATTTACTTTAATGTTTCTTAATTCTATAAAGAAAAGTGTGGTTTAGTCTGCTTAATTTAAGATATTCTTAAATTAACTTCAAAATTTATTCACCATGTTATAAAAGTTCAAAAAAAGACTTGAATTTTTGTTTATTTGTTGAACAACAAAGAAATCAGTCTACGTCCACCTGAGCTTATTCAAATTGGCAGCTAATGAGCCAACCTTGTGTGTATTTCCTTGCTCTGCAGCAGGCAGCACCTGAGTAAGAATTTGTTTCCTACTTAAATTTTTAAAATTTCTTCCTTTTTACTTTAAGTACTCACTCATGATTTTGCAAGTAACTAACACAAACACTGTTCAAATGTGAAGAAACCCTTTATTTCCCTCTAGCATATTCTGTCATCATAGAAATGGAAAAATGTTTGAGTCATATAAACATCCAACTTTCATAAAATAATCTACTGCTCTTTGTAAATAATTTTTAAATTTTGAGATGGTATCAGACTATTTCTTACATTAATAACAATGATTTACTTCTTCAGGAAAAACAAATTTATATATATTATATATATACACACACATTTATATATATGGATATATATATACATTTATATGTATATATGGATATACAGTTAAAGGACTCTCTTCCTAACTTGCCTTTTTGGAAACTGTCTACTTCCTCTTCTCCAACCCAACCCCCTTTATTCAAACAGACCAAAGAAGAAAGAGAGATTTCTGAAAAAGTTATATTTTTGCAGCAAGGAAGTGCTCCATTCCTTGAGTCTCAGGTAAAAAAAAGCAAAAACAATTTTCTAAAGGAACTATTCTTCAGACTTCAGTGTCATTAAAGTATCTTTAGTTTTTATTTTCCTTTTAAAATTATCTTGTTTCCAACTAAGGTAAGTATATTACTTTTGCTTAGGCTCTGGGGAAGGGGAAAATAATTTTAATATGTTGGTTGTCATTTATGCATCATTTCTTTATGGCTTCTAATCCTAGGTGATTATATATTACCATTGAAGCATTATGATTGTACTTTCTAGTAATAATCTTACTGAAGTTTGTACTGCCTGTTTTTACCCGTAGAGTGGTGCTAATTTAGATGACTTGATTGACTTTGAAAGTTCTGAACTTGTATTGGTTTTTCCCACTAGCCAAGTGTGATTAAGAAAATACAGGAAGGAGACTCTGCTGATTCTGTGGCTACTTCTCGTCAAATAATTTTCCAGAAAACTGTCCCATCGGCCCTAGAGGTTATTTTTTTCAATTCATTTCATTTAGTATAGCACCAACATGTAGATCAAACTGTGATCATTCTTCTTAAGGCATACTTATTTCTAGATTCAAGTTTCCAAGCTACAATAAGTACAAAAATAAAAAACTTTCTAGTAAATCAAGCTGTTCACCTCCTTCTGGTTTAAATTGCTCTTCCTTTGTCACCTGTTAAACTGGTCAGCTGTTAACCTATCACTTCCTATTACGTCTCCCTGAATGCAAAGTTTTCTTAACTTTAATCTGCTTTATTGGAGCTAACATTAAGCAAAGAGGAAGTCAAACTACTGAGACAGTGAACTTCAGCTATAATTAAGATTGGGACCCTGTACAGATCTCTCAGGCTTATTTTAAAAAGATCCCAAAGTGTCTGATCAGTGGGGAATGTTTCGTAAGGATGCTGTGAACACAGGTGCGCTCAATAGTATTTGAATGATAAGTGCGGTCATGGATTCCCTTCCCCATATAAAGAAGCACAATCTACAAACGTGGGAAGTGATGTTTACAGAAATTTGTAGACTGTTGGAAAGTTCTTTGTGGAAATTAATGGCATATGAACTTTATTATTATATTTATTATGAAAAACTTGCACAATAACTTCAATAATGTTATCTAATCTTGAAATAAAAATAATCAAATGTGCATCTTGCACATAGATTCCTTGCAAAATTTACCAAGAATATCTGTTCCTGTTAAAGAAATATGAAATTGTAATCCTACCCTGCAGGATACATTTCAGGATGAAGGTTATAGTTAGTTAATTTCAGAGGAAAAGAGATAATAGCCATAATTTTTAGATTAATAACACTGTCCTGGGCAGTCCCATCGCAGACCTATATGTAGCCCCGGGCCTGATTTTCTTAAAGGGTTCTTATTTTAGAAATGGGATGTCATCAGAATTTCTAATTTAGCTTTTATATTTTAAATATAGGGCACAGAGGATTGGGTTATTGTAGACAAAATACCCACTGAGGTAGTTGGTGGTGATTCGAAAAAGATTGTGACTTACAAGGTGGTGACGGTGAGCAGTAGAACTGGTGACATCCCAGAGGACATTCTGAAATCTAGCACTATTGAAATGCAGAGCTTCCATGATTTGGCCCAAGAATTGCAACTGAAAGAAGAAAGCAAACAGAAAATATACCCTCTAGGAAAATCCTACGACACCATCTCTGGAAGAATCGTTACTATGACTGGGAAAACCAAAGACGGGGAGAGAAGAGCGCAGCCCTCCCCACTAGAGGCCCTTCAGAAAATGGAGAGAGGCGTGTCAGAGTCAGGGAAGGCTGTCTCCATCCTGACAGAATACGAGGTCCTGGAGTCCCTGGCCGATGATAAGTCCAGGAGAGGACCCGAGGTCCAGACGACAAAGCGGAAATTGTCAGAATCCCTGGCTCCCATCAAGGAAGCCGAGTCTCGCCGGCAGAGTCCTGAAGAGGATGACCTCCAGAAGGCTGCAAAGCCAGGGGAGGGTGTGGCCGTCCGCCCTCGCCCAGAAAGTGCCCGGTTCAGCATAACAGAGCAAGTACCAGATAGTGAGGTCTTAAAAGTGGGACTCTTTGGTCCCCGAAGGAAGAGCCTGTCCGAGTGGAGATATTCCCAGGAACCAGCCTTTACTGTTGCTACTGCTCATTATGTCACCGAGTCGTCCGCATCCCGAGTGGTGGTAACCAGCAGCTCTCATTCGGTTGCAGTTTAAGATTCCAGCATGATGTTATTTGAAGCAGTACCCTTCCACCCCAAACCTTTCCGTTTCTCTTGCCGCTTGGCTTTATGTTGAGAGCAGCCAACCCAGCTTTATGGTTTTTTTTTTTTCATGGTTGAGTCAATACCGCAGTCCAAAGTCAGCATTAAAACACTTTTCTGTTTTATTTCCAGCTGCCCGTTCCCAAGATTTGATAGCGCTGCTGTGGCTTGCAATGAAGGAGAAAAAAAAAAAAAAAAAGATCTGCTTAAATCAGCACTACCCTGTTCCTAATAACTCTCTGCTTTACCAAACAACAGCTCATGGTCACCCCACTTTGCTATTTTATTTCCCATTCTTTTCTGTTTCCACAGTCCGTATCTTGGATTCCTTCATTTCTCCTTTCTTTTTTTTCCTCTGCCTACAATTTTGTCTAACAAGCTGTGAATGTGTATGTGGCTAAGTATGTGTCTGTCTCTTGTGCTTGACTCTGTCCATTTCTTTGTCCTCTCAGACTAAGCAGACTTCTGGTGAAAAGCTCATGGATGGCTCTGAAATCTTCAGTTTATTAGAGTCTGCGCGAAAACCAACAGAATTCATAGGAGGGGTTACTTCTACTTCTCAAAGCTGGGTGCAGGTGGCCATTTGCTTCCATCCTGGGGTTTCTGAATGTTCTCATCTGCCTTGCTCGGTGCCTTTGGGGGCGGGTTGTGTGTTCGTGTTTTGCATTCAACATTCCAAGGTGTCTTCCGTGATTGTCCTTTGTGCCTGCTTGGTCATATGCCTTTAGTTCCATTTCAAGAATACACCTCACATATTCCAGAGGCAATCACATTGAGAAATTGTAATAGCATTTAATTTTTAGAAGCATTTTATCTCATCTATTGGGTCTGAGAAAAACAACCAGAACCAATGCAAATGTGCTATGATGCTTCCGTTCATTGTTTTTCACTTGCATATTATATTCTGTTTTCTTTTGTGGATGCCGTGAAGTAGCAGCATAGGCTCCAGTGTGTATGTTTAGCAGGAGGCATGCAGCAAAGCTTCTGGTGGGAGGAATGGAAGCCAATATATAATTTCTATCAATGTTTCTGATTATAAGCACCTGATGCTGGCTTTAATCATTGTAGTGAGTGGCGGCTTTCATTTTTCTTTTTTTTTTTTATTTTTATTTTTGTTTCTTTGACCTTTGGACTTAAGGAAAATCACTCTGATGCCACACTGTTTTCCCATACAGAAAGTGGAAACCAAGATCGAGTCCAGTGAAACAGAGACAGAAACCACCCCACACCCCCAGCCACTCAGCACTGAGAAGGTGGTGCAGGAAACTGTGTTGGTGGAGGAGAGGCGTGTGATGAACGTGCACGCGAGTGGGGATGCTTCTTACGCAGCTGGGGAAGATGCAGATGCTGCAGCACAGCCCATGCCTACTGAAGCAGTCGGTGTGAAAGAGAAGGAAGGCTCTGCTGGGACGGAGGGGTCCAAAGAGGAAAGACAGGAAGAGTCTGCTAAGGCTGGATCTGAGCAAGAAGAAACAGCCCCTGCTTCCCAGGAGCGAGAGGAGGAACAGGGTGCAGCCACCCAGGTTTCTGAAACTTCAGAACAAAAACCTCATTTTGAGGTAACTAGTAGCTAATGTTACTCTGAACACTAAACTGATAATGTGGTGCCCTGAAATTTTGATCAGCAAACAGCTAAGTTCAATCTCCTGCCTTTCCCACGTGGTTTGTTTATCCTGTTTCCTTTGCATATGGCAGTTAGGGGCCTTCGTGCTGGTTTTCAGCTTTGGGGTCATTTACAGACTTATCTGTTGGTTGTTAATAATGCATAGCTCCAGGAAGTGGTTTCTGTCATTGAAAGTCTAATTGGCAGCCAATCTGGAGAAAGCATCGTGAGCCAGGATATTAGAAATTCTGATAGTCTTATTCCTGAGTAGTGTACTTATCCAGAAGGACCAAAGACTATGCCTTTCCAGTCTCCAAGTGTCAAGACTTAGTTCTTTTTTTTTTTTTTGTATTTTTCTTTTTATACATGACAGTAGAATGTATTTTCTACATCATGTGTACATGGACTATAACTTCACATTATTTTGGTTGTATGTGATGTAGAGTTACACTGGTCACATATTCATATMTGAATATAGTAAAGTTATGTCCAATTCATTCTACTGTCTTCCCATTCCCATCCCTTCTCCCTTCCCCCGCCCCTACCCCACCCCTGCTGTCCAATCCAGCAAATCTTCCCTCCTCCCCACAGACCTATTGTGAGTCAGCATCTGCATATCAGAAAGAAAATTTAGCCTTTGGTTTTTTGAGATTAGCTTATTTCACTTAGCATGATAGTCTCCAGTTCCTCCCATTTACCAACAAAGGTCATAAAGTCATTCTTATGACTGAATAATATTCCATTGTGTATATATATTGGTTGTTAATAATGCATAGCATTATTACATATATATATATATTGCATATTTTCTTTATCCATTCATCTGATGAAGGGCACCTAGCTTGGTTCCATAGCTTAGCTATTATGAATTGAGCTGCTATAAACATTGATGTGGCTGCATCACTGTAATATGTTGATTTTAAGTCCTTTGGGTATATACCAAGGAGTGGGATGACTCTGTCAAATGGTGGTTCCATTCCAAGTTTTCTGAGGAATTTCCATACTGCTTTCCATCTATTTGCAGTCCCACCAGTAATGTATAACTTTTCCCCCACATCCTCGCTAACATTTATTGTTACTTATATTCTTGATTATTGCCATTCTGAGGAATAAGGTGAAATATCAGTGTAGTTTATTCTTTATCCAYTTTTAGGAAGATTCCCAAAGTATTTGGAGAGTTGACATCTTAATGCTTGTTCCTTCTTTTAACAGTGATTAATATAAAGGCATATTTACTTTTACTCTATTAAGATGAGTTTAAAAGATTGAAGAGAGAGAACATGAAAACTTTCTTAAAATTCCTTCAAAATCTTTTCTTTACCTCAAACATTTCTTATGAAAAATGCTATGGAGTTTTGGGAGATGATTTGACATTTCTCTTTTGTGTGCCTTATTCTTCAGTTTATCCCCATGTAATGTGTGAACATTGATTTCATGTTAACCTGTGCTTTTGTCAAGTACTAAAGTACCAAAGAGGAGAGAAAAAAATAAATAAAGGTGTGTTGGTACAAACTGTAATAGCCATCTCTTCACTTCCTGTTGGCACAGTCATCAGCTGTGAAGATGGAAACCGTCAGTTATGGCAGTGTTCCCACAGGAGGAGTAAAGCTAGAAGTTTCTACCAAGGAAGTGCCAGTAGTTCACACAGAAACAAAAACCATCACATATGAATCATCACAGGTAAGACAGTCTCTGAAGGCCAGATCCCTGGCACTTTACATTTTCCTCCTCTGAGGGCTGAGTGCACTGAAGTATAGCTACATAATATTTAATTCATGAGACCTAGAGGATCCTGCAGCCAGACCATCTCTACAGAGAGAAATGCAATAATTGTCATTTTATTACTGATCATAAAGTAGCAAGTGATTCCACCAGGTCTTCATAGATCTTGAAATGGAGAAGGCGGCTCAGAAACCCAGTTTTGTCACTACAGATGAGGGGAAATAATCACTTAATCATCCACTGCATACATTTCAAAGTCCCGGGTTTTTGTTTGTTTGTTTTTAATGCCTGTTAGCTCTAGCTATGTTCAGCTCCCAGGTTCTGCACAGTGATTGTGAGAGAAGGTCATCCCTCTCCATCTGTTGGGGGGGACCCTCATGGACACTAAAATCTGCAGATGCTCAAGTTGCTTGTATAAAATGCCATAACATTTATTCATAAAACATATTCACATACCTCATGTACTTTAACTCATTTCTAGTGCTATAAAATACCTAGTACGGTATAAATGCCCTGTAAAGAGTTGTGCTGTGTTATTTAGGGAATACTGACAAGGAAGAAAAGTCAGTATGTGTTCAGTACAGCTGCAGTGTTTTACTGAATACTTGCCGTCCTTGGTTGAATCCTCAGATGTAAAACACATAGATACAGAGGGCCGACTATACTTCAGTCATTTTAATGCTTTAAATAACATAGCTAACTCCCAGAGAGGAAATGTAAACACCTGAGGGTGGTGTCTGTTCCTGCCCTTGCTTCAGGTGGATCCTGGGGCTGATCTGGAGCCAGGTGTGCTGATGAGCGCACAGACAATCACATCGGAAACCACCAGTACCACCACCACCACGCACATCACCAAAGTAAGTGAGAGCGCAGATCTTGGGAGCTAGGGGGTGGTGCTCATGCAGAACTTCTGACCGATTAGTTGATAGTTAATTGACTGTCAGGATGCCCAGGATAGCTGCAGAGGGAGAGACTCCAACTTTTAGGTTTGTGATGCACTTGGCTCCATATGATGGAATATTCTTTCCTTTTTTTTGTGGGGGAGGCGGAGGTGCGGGTACTAGGGCTTGAACTCAGGGGCACTCAACCACTGAGCCACATCCCCAGCCCTATTTTGAATTTTATTTAGAGACAGGGAGSGTCTCACTGAGTCACTTAGTGCCTCACCATTGCTGAGGCTGGCTTTGAACCCACCATCCTCCAGTCTCAGCTCCCCGAGCCACTGGGATTACAGGCGGCGTGTACCCTCCGCACCCAGCAGGAATATTCTTTCTGGTGTCCTGTGCCTAACATTCTTCAATGGGTGGGTCTTCAAGAAAACACTAGCTGGCCAAACCCAAAGGACTGCACTCGATCTTCACTTCTGAAATTAAACATGTTAAATAACTGCTGGAAAATTCTATCTTGGTTGGTGATATAATCTAAAACTCTCACCATTTTCTGCCCTTTCCTCTGTGGAATGGGGATCATTCCTGCCAGTAAGCTGATTCACRAAGCTTCTCTTTGTTTCGTTCAGACTGTGAAAGGAGGCATTTCAGAGACGAGAATTGAGAAGCGAATAGTCATCACAGGAGATGCGGACATTGACCATGACCAGGTAGTGTTATGTGAGTTGGTAAATCCCGTAGCAGAGACACAAAGACAAACATGTTTGCCCTTCAGTTTCCAATGTTATTCTTCTAGTTCAGCATGTACTCTAAAAATCTTTCTGAATTAGCTTTCCTGTATATGATTTTTGATTCCTTTTGTAATCATTGTACCTCGTTTGTAAATTGTGGATGTAGAATTAGCTCGTAAGTCTACACCTTGCTAGTGATCATGCATGTCCGACTCCTTTCTGTTTTTGCCCTTCTGTGATTTCCTGGGGATAGGCTCTGGCTCAGGCAATTAAAGAGGCCAAAGAGCAGCACCCTGACATGTCAGTGACCAAAGTAGTGGTCCATAAAGAGACAGAGATCACACCAGAAGATGGAGAGGATTGACCAGAGGTAAGAGGTGATGCTCATTCTCTAGGCTTGCCTAGGCTGGCATGTGGCATGGGGCACTTCCCCCTCCTCCTTTGCCTGATCCTCCTCTTCCTATTTTCTCCTCTCACTGGTATTTCGGGGGCTGGTTACCAAGAGGGTGAAGAATTGGTCTACAGGTGCCAGTTTGTCTTGAGATTTGGAAGTTCCATACTTGGGTATGTTTTACAGCTACTGCAAGTTGGAAGAAAAAGGAAGAGCAGAGTCTGCTTGAGTGGTCTCACCACTATTCCCTTTAAATCCAGGCCCTGCACTCTTTATAATATCCAAATTTGAAATGTCAAATTCGATTTCACTTCCTGCGTACTCAGAACTAAATCAGTTTTTATTCAGAGAGATACCATTTGTATGTTCCAGCTACCAGGGAAATTAAATACACCCCTTTCTCCTTTTGATGACCTTGTTTCTTGGTAGCTTGCTCTTTGACTATGCCTACTCATGCTTTGGGGGTTTTTTTGTTTGTTTGTTTGGTTGGTTGGTTCGTTGTTTGATTTCGATTTGTTAATTCAGAACCTGGACACTTTCTTTTTGGGTGTCGGTACATTTCCTGCTTATGAGGGATGACTTTCCCCCTAGTATACTCTTGTCTCAGGAGAAAGCAAAAATGCAGCCTGGTGATCCTGTTTTCCTTCCGAAAGTGCATGCCTTGCTAGCTGYTGTATGGCCAGCATCGTGAGCAGACCAACAGTCTCCTGTGTGTGTGCACAGACTTGCCATGCATACTGACCTGCTGTGCAAGAACTCACTCGTGGGCCCGTGAGCATCCCTTAGAGGGCTCTGAATGCTGAATGCAACAGTGAGCYATTTGCACCTGTGCTTAATGGGATAAAACATTGAAGAGACTTCATAAGCTTTGTAACCTCGATTTAAGAAACATTTAGATGGACAAGCAGCATCTCTTAACACAGAAATACCAAAAATCACTTATTACATTCAAACTAATAATATATTGGGAAGATAGAATGTAAAGGAAAAAAAAAGATTTCCTTCAGTAAGCTTTAGCCACTTGGGTATGTTGTTGTTATTGAAGAGAAAGCATAGTGGCTTGGGATGGAGTGTTATAGTATCTTGTCAAAAAAAAAAAATGAATGATTTTAACATACAAGGTACTTTTCTGTGACCTTGATCTGAGCAAACTTCTCAGGTGTTTTCTGATGGATAACTAATTGAATCTCTTTTCTGCAGGAATAATTTAGCTTGCACATGAGTCCAGTCATGCAAACCATTAGGAAAACCAGAGCCTATATGGAGTTCCCTCTTCTAACCCAACTGACTTGTATCTGTCCGTGGAAAATTCCAATCCAGAAGAATTGACCTTGACTATTAATAAAGACACTGGCAGAGAGATCTTCCCATAATAAAGCAATCCGAATCAGCATCACTAAACTGATATTGCATGAAGCAACGATAAAATTACAAAAGAGCAGCATTTTTAATTTTCACAAAAACGTCTCAGTTTCCAGCTCTACCTGCACGTTCCATAACCAACAATATAAACCGTGATCTCATGTAACACACACAMAAAAAAATCCATACCTTTCATAGTTTATTATTATTAAAGTCTCAACAAAACTGCAATTTCCTAGGTGACAAATCTTTTGTTTACAGATAAATGAAGATTACCCTAAAATGCTAGAAGCTGTCTAGGTCCAGTGTGTCGGACTGATCTCAGATTAGATGTGCCAATAACCGAGTTTATTCAGTAAACAACTTGAATCTTGTATTTGTTTCCTCTGTTTTTATTATTATCATCCATACACAGTAATGACTCTCTGACCCTCTGGAAATATTTAATGCTTACAATCTTGCTTTGTGTATCTCACTTAATTTGTTAAAAGGTAGTACTGATTTTAGCATATCATTCATGTGATTTCTTTCTTATTGTTAATATTGTTCACTTTGGTCTGCGTTTGATCTGGAAAGCTCCCCAGAGTTCTCCAGCAAGACCGAAATATGTAAATTGTCATTGTTTGGGGGAAGAAAACCTGTGTTTTTGTTAGTTTACAATATTATGAAATTTCACTCCAGGAAAACCTGTTGGACTTCTATTGCTTTGTGTTCTTTCTTTGTTTCTTTTTTCCTTGTATTTTTCCATTGATTTTTTTTTTTTCTTTGACGTGAAGTGTTTTGTTTCCAAATCTGGTCCATATTTACAATCTAGTTCAGAGCCAAGCCTTAAACTGTACAGAATTTCCACTGTAATTAAAATTATTGAGTGTTTAGTTATAAATAGCCTTCAAAAAGATATATTCTCCACCACACTGTCCACGCATCACAGTCCATGGTGAATGGTGTTTCTGCATAGTGAAATAAAAATGGCAAACGCATCTAAAGCTCTAATTTTTCCATGTTTAATAATTTCAGTATTATGTGTGTTTAGCCCAGAGCTAACATTTGCATGACATCAAAGGCCCCATTCATCCACACTGTAGAGACATCCTGTCTGTACAGGATTTAAAAAAAAAGAAAAAACAAGTGTACATGGTCTACAGTGTGTGGACCCTTGGAAATGGAAATAAAATATGTCTATATAAATACCTGGGTGCCTGCAACAACTTCAAAAAGAACATCATAGAATCTCATGTTCAAAGTTTTAATTTTTTTTTTCATAAGGAAAGAAACTGTATGTTTCTGGGTGCTTTTAATCTACCAAAGGGACATCTCTTTCAGACATCAGCTCCACAGCTGAATAAATCAAACTGCATGCACTGCAAAAGCCTGGACAGCCTGTTCCCGAAGCTCAATTGCGTCAGACTCCTCTTGGGGTGAGGACTAGGGTGAAGATATTTTTTTCCCTGACAGTGCCTGTCTGTATTACTGACATTTCCTACCATCTTACGCATTTACCTTTCTGATTTTAAACAAATAACAAAAAGAAAAACATACTTCAATTGTGTTTGTAATGGATCAAAAATATGTTTTAAAAAAACTAACACTTCATTTATATGAAAATAGTGTCATCTAAAGGATGCCTACACTGGGTCTGCTTTGTTTGTACCCTTCAAGTTGTACCCATGTCAGCTATTTTAAACCAGACTCAATGTTACCAAGGTGCCTCCATCCTTAGCAATAAGTACTCTTTTTTTATATATAAAATTACACATTGCAAAGAAAGTTAGCAGCTTTCTTCTCCTTCTGTATGTCACTTTTCAAAATTCTTCGCCCTCCACCCATGGCTCAGTACCAAAGCCTTTCCCACATATTTAGGTACTTGTGACAGAAGTACCTCCCTTCTAGTATCAACATCTGAATTTTATTGTTGTATCCCAAATTGCCACAAAATTTGTAGCTGAAAACAAACTACAAACTAACAAACTACTAAGTCCTAGTTTCTATGGATCAGGGGTCTGGGTATGGGTTCTCGGGTTTAAGACTGATCAAGTATCAGCTAGGGCTATGTCTCATCCGAGGCCTCAACTGGGGGAAGGACACACTCCTGAGCTCCTCACATCATTGGCAGAATTCACTTGTGGTTGTAGGATTTGGGAAGCTTCCTGCTTGAAAGCTAGCAATAAGATAAAACACTCTTAGCTTGTGTTTGCTAGCAAGACATCATCTAGTATAACTTAACCCAAGGAGTGGCTTCTCATCTCCTTTGCCATAGTCTATTGATTATAAACAAAAGTCATGACTTCTTCCCACAGTATCCACAAATTTAGTGTGTAAGATTGGATGACACTCACTGAATACTTAAGTAATCTCAGTGTATTTTGTTTAGCCATAACTACCAATGGTATGGAAAGGACCTCAGATATTACACTTTGAAAGAAATTGAAGAATTCTACTTAAGATAACCGTTTGCCTCATTGAAAAGAAAAGCATGCTTTTCGATTTGCTCTAAGATTCAGATCCAGGAAATAAGAACGAATGGTTCTCTAAAGGCCACCATGGTCCAGCCCACTGATAACCTGTACTTTCATGCTAACGCCACAAGGATCTATAGAAGCATTAGTTATAGTGGTATTCAGCCTTTAATAAAAACTACATGTTATTTTCTCTGGACTCTCATAAAGTGAATTGCTGTGTCAAATGACTAACCTTCCTTCAGGTGAAATGCTCCCTGCTCTCCACCCAGCAGAACTTAGCCTGGGTGTGTGACCTCAGTTTGTATGGGTGCATCCTACTCCTCGGGGTTGGGATTAATGGACAGAGCCTCAGTAATGCCAGGACACACTGCCACAGCAAGAGAAATGAGGGCAGTGCTAATAATGTGGGGATTTCGTGTCCTTTCACTTTTCTTGGAAGAATTTCTCATCCCCTTCTAGTCTGTTTCTTTCAAGTTTCATAGGACTGCCAGAGCTCACAAGCTTAGGGCTCAGTGAGTTAGATCCTGTACTTTGTAGGTTGCTCAATTTTGAAAAACAATTACTATAATCCATTTCATTTATTATATTAACTTCTTCCTAGAACATCTGTTGCTCCATTATTTAAATCAGCACCCATCCTAGCCCTTTTTTTTAAGAAATCAGCAGAATCTTGAATCCAAAAGTGTTTCTAACTTACAAAGCAGAGTTATTATATATTACCTTACATCAAATGCTTTCCCATCTTCCTCACTCCGTTAACCAGTGTAGGAAGTATCTGCCTTGGATTGCCAAAGAGGTGGCCTTGTATTTTAACAGTCATTTTATCCTTGAAGTAAAATCAGATTGTTCCATTTTTATAAAAAAAAAAAATACATTTTTGTGGCAGGCCATTGGTGCATGTAAAATTGTGTTCTCAGAAACAATGTTTTGTTTTGACAGTTTCTTATCGTGGCTACTTAACTCTGAGGAAGGGTGATAAAGGGGCTGGAGCTCCCCCATGAGTGTGATTATTCAATGTGTGTGTGCACCCACACTACCTACCCGTGTTTAATGACATGGAATTTCAGGGATACTAAAGGACGTCTAACCCGATAAGAAGAGGTCAAGTCTACAAAGAAATAGAAGTAACTGTATGAAACAATGTATTCAAATGGGTGTACTTTGCATCTTGTTATACAAGCTAGAGACCTGGGAGGTTTTCACTCCACTGTCTCCCTTGCTCATTTCCCCAGCTTGTCAATTATTTTTCTTTGCTGACTCTTAAACCTAAAAATGGCACTACCAACAGCCTACCCACCAATGCCTTGCACATTCCCACCCTGACAATACTTTAGATCATAGTTTCAGTCTCTTACAATCTAAAATTTGATCCAATCACTCCTGTATTTAAAATGTGTTGGCTTTCCATTGCTCTTAGCATAAAGAAAGGCCTGCATGCTTCAATCATGGTCTGAAGACATGCATGAGCCAACTCTTACCCACTGGCTTTCCAGTTACATATGCAGCAATGTATCCACTCACCCTGGCTCCTCTCACCTGCCTCAGTCCTGTTTAACTGCAGGAACCGTCCCCGGCACTACTCTGTCCCCAATTTAACTTCAGACCTGAGTTTAATAAAGTTCCCTTTCCTGGTTTTACCATTTGACCCTTTTACATGCTCTCAACACTATCTAATAGAATATGTCACTGTTGTATTTTATACTTATCTTCCCAATTCTTTGAATGAATCTCTTCTGTATGTCAAGAGTCTTACAGATGGTGGCTCACCTTCAAGCCCCRTTCCTGGATTTTACAGTGGTGCTCAATATTTGCATGCACAAATGAACATACTGATAAAGTTTTCTTTGCTCTGATAAATTTGAAACATTTTTTTTTCTGAATTTTCTCTGAAGCYCAGAAATGGTTATGGAGCTGATGGGAGATCTGAAATAGGAAGTCTTTCCATTGAAGGAGTGATTCCCAACGGAGCACTTCCTATTTCAGTCTTCCAATGGAACCATTTTCCATTTCACATCCTCATCAACTCCATGACCATTATCATTGAGACCAACAAGTGATGGTCTCTCCCTAAAGAAAGATCTGTCCTTAGAAGAGATGGATTGGTTTTAGCTCCCTGATTAGCGATGATGTCATTACCCATGTGATGATCCGTTGACTCCATGTTTTGATCTGGTTGTCACATCAGAAACCTCATATTTGAAAGGGGTCTTAGAAGCTGGCATTTCCCTCTGAAATTAGAATTGTAAACTTCACTAGATATACCATTTGCAGACAGTGGAAGTCTTACTCATAACATCTCAGAGACATTAGTCCTTCAGACTGGATATAGTGGAGGTGAAAGAGTTAGTACACGGGCTCAAAACCTTGCAGTTATTTTTGACTGCTTTATTTGCTTCACAGTGTGAAAGAGCCTTCACATCTGTCTTTCTTTTCATTCTACTGTAATCCCTCATCATCTGTTTTAGTCGGGTTTTTGTTGTTGGGACCAAAATACCCAACAATAATTACTGAGAGAAGGAAAAGCTTGGCTCACAGTTTTAGAAGTTCAGACCATGGTTAGCCAACTCCATAGCTCAGGGTCTGAGTGAGGCCGACCATGGGGCAGATGGGCAACCAGGAAGCAGAGAGCAAGCTGCACTCACTGAGAACAAACCCAGAGTCTCACCCCCAGTGATCTACTTCTGGCAGCCACACCCGACCTGCCTGTAGTTACCACCCAGTTAATCCATATCAGTGGATTAATCCACCGGTGAGGTTGCAACTCTCATAATTGATCATTTCACCCTTGACCCTTCTTGCATTGCCTCATACATGAGTTTTGGGTGAAACCTCATAACTAAACCATAACTTCATCTCTCATCTGGGCTGTTGCATTATCTCACTGGTCTCTAAATTCTACTCATTCATCAACACACCACCTCTCAATCTTTAGGCTGTTCACTTTCCTAATCAATCAGAAAAGCACCTTCATAGCACAACCAAAAATCCTTCAGTATTACCTCCTCAGTCATTCCYTAAAATTCAATTCTAAATTCTTAAACATGACACTGTGTGTTGTGCTACCTTCCAGCTTTCTATTTTTTTTTTCCTCAAACATTCCCCAATGTCAACTCTATCTTTCCACCAACTTGACTGGTAGAAGAATGTCCACAGCAGCATTGTTTTAATCAGCTTTTTCGCTGCTGTGACTAAAGGATCTGACCACAACAACTATAAAGGAGGAAAAGTTTATTTGAAGTCTTAGTCCATAGAAGGCTGGTTTCATTTCTCAGGGCTCCAGATAAGGCTAAACATCATGGTGGAGTGTGCGGCAGAGGGAAGCAGCTCATATAATGGAGATCAAGAAGGAGAGATAATGACTCCACTCATCAGATACAAATATACACCCAAAGCCACACCCCAATTCCCACCTCCTCCAGCCACACCCCACCACTTCAGTTACCACTCAGTTAATCCCTAACAGAGGATTAAATCACTGATTGGGTTAAGACCCTCACAACCTAATCATTTCTCCTCTGAAC